AGATAACAAGGTGGTCTTCTCACCTTGGTATGAGACACTATAGATGGTTGAGAGGACTTATCAACCATCTTCAAAGAGAGCAAAGATTGGAGTATGTAGCAAATATAATTTTTCGAATCTTGGACTTCTTCATTATATGAAGATCGCTCCTCCTGGAACTCGTCTCTAGAAGGGAGAGTAATGTCACGGACATATATATTTACCTCAATAGTTACTTATATGATTAAATAGAAGTAAGTAAAATAGAATAATTTCATAAAGTCTTCTAGAAAAGCTTCCTAGAAGCTTCATAGACACAATTTTGACTTTAGATGTATTCATAGGTTAGAAAATTGGCCAAAAAGCTAATCATATATTGGTAGCTTGTGGAACAAGTTACCTCCATGTAGTAGCTTGTAGAACAAGCTAACTACATGGCATATACATTGATAACTTGCCTTGCAAGATAAGACATGTGGCTAGCAAAGTCAACACATGTTGGAGGTCCTATAGGACATTGTCACGTGGCTCTTAGTTAGATAGTATATATGGAGGCAAGAGTGAAGCATTCTTCACTCTGGTCAATGCCTTTCTAATCTTAGTCTTGTTTCAAGACTTTCTAGTCTTCTTGTTTTTGGCAATAGCTATTCTAGTTAATATTACATCACCTTTTGAGTGACTTTCTAGTTCTCTTCAATGATAGAAGAGTGTATTGAGGATTTCCTTTCTTCGAGATTCATGTCCTTGACAATCTCTCACAAAGCAGGAAAAGAATCAACAATGTCGAGAGGACTTATGCATATATTATGGAAAAGCTAAACATATTACTCAATATTGTCTAAAATAACAACGTAATTACAAAATAAGCAACACAATTACCAAAGAAGATAATGTTTCAAAAAATGAGTTGATCCAACTACAATAAGGTAGTGCAGCTGGAATCATATGCATCATTTAGCAAAGATCATATTATCTCTTCTGATCCCTCACCTTGTTTTACAATAGAAGTTTGTTTAGGACCAAAAAACCACAAAGTCTTAGCCTTATTGGATTTAGGAACCTCAACTTGTTTTGTAGATAAAGACTTTGTCAAAAGATAATATATATTCTTAATTAAAAAAATCAAACATGTGCATGTAGAAGTAATAGATGGACGTTCATTATCTTCTCGAGATGTTGTACATGAAACTACTCCTGTAAAATTAGCAATTAGTGGTCACAATAGTTTAATAATATTTATTATTATTAAATTTCTTTTTAATCTAATTATTTTAAGATTATTGTGGTTAAAAAGATATAATCTTTAAATAGACTAGATTTCTTACAATCTTGATTTTTTCCACAATTTAGTTTAAGGTCTTGCCATGCAAGAAGAAATCTATAAGTCTAGTATATCCAAATCATTATCAGTAGGTGCGAGAGCTTTCATCGATGACACAAATGAGGGACCATCTTTTGCTATATATGCTACATCCATTGCTCATGGTGAGAAGATATCAAGTGATATTCTTAGCTAGTATCAAGATTTCTGGAACATGTTTTAAAAGAAGAATGCAGATATTTTTTTAGAGTATCTTTCTTATGATTGTACCATCGATCTTCAAGAAAGAACTTAACCACTACTTGGACTAATCTATAGCCTATCACAAAAAAAGTTGGTTGCACTCAAAGAATACATTGATGAAAACTTGGCTAAGAACTTTATATGCCATTCTAAATCTCCAATCGATGCTCCTATCTTATTTGTGAAGAAAAAAGACGGATCTTTGTGGATGTGTGTGGATTATCAAGGACTTAATAAGATCACCATTGAGAATAGATATCCTCTCATTTTGATTTCAGGACTTCTTAATCAACTAAATCAAGCAAAGATCTATATAAAAATTAATCTACGAAGAGCACATAACTTGGTCTGCATCAAAAAAAAAAAAAAAAAAAAAAAAAAAAAAAAGATGAATAGAAGACTGCTTTCTGAATTAGATATGGACTTAACTTGATTCAATGTGTTGACTTTGCATGACATGTATCTTAACTTGTAAGGTAAGTTTTCTATATGTGTATGACATAGTTAGCTTATTCAACAAGCTACTAACACGTGGTTAATTTATTGACCAAGTTTCTAATCTATTAATCAACTACAAATACATGTTAAGTCAAAGCAGTGTTTATGAAGCTTCTAGAAAGCTTCTTTATAAGTTAGAAAATTAATGTATTTTTATCTATTTTTATCTACTTCTATCTAAACATACAAATATTTACTAGAATACTTATGTATATTTGTGACATAGTATAGAACATTATTGATAGCTAAGATGACCTATCAACTATCTTTAATAGAAACAAAGATCAAAATACATGGAAAATATAATTTGTTGCAATTTGGACTTCTTCAACATGTACTTGTTATTCTTGATGAAACTTGTTCTTAAAAGGAGAAATAATGTGACAAACGTATATATTTGCTTAAATTAAAAGAATAGATAGACGTAAATAGAAGTAAGTAGATTTAATAATATCTAGTGGACAAGCTTCTTAGAAGCTTTATAGATGCAAATTTGATTTTATATGTGTTTGTAGGAGATTGATAGGTTGAAAACTTGACACATAAGTTGGTCAAATATTGCACATGTTGGCAACTTATAATACTAAGGTTATAACTACTAATATTCAAATTTTACCATTATAATTATAGATTTTTAAAAAATAAAATCTTATGATATTTATACATAATAGATTTGTATTTTTTTCATTTCTATTCAATAAATAAATTTTATGTTTTTTACATTTATATACATCTTTTATTGTAAGATATTATTTTGATATGTAATCTTTGTCTTTTCTTATTCTTAATTTTAAATTATTTTTATAAAATATTAAAATAGCAATTATTCCAATTATATATAAAAATAGAATAATTAGTACTATGTCAAGTACCATATACAATTTAATGTTAAAAATATTTTGAATGCAGTGAATGAACCATTAGCTTCCAAATCCAATTCCAAAGCCCATGTGAAAAATATGGATGCCTCAGTCGTGTTAAAAGGACATATCAGTCATGGTCGGAGCGTCGTCGAAAAAGCCGGCACCGTCCAACCAGCGATGTTTGAATGCCGACACCGCCCGGCCTGTGATCTGTAGGTACCGACTGCAGCAAGTCCTCTTACTGAAACGCTGGGTTGAATGCCGTGAACCTGCGAGGACCAACAATATGAATTGCTACATTGTGTAAGGAGCCTGATCATGAGCAATGCTGGCCACCACATCTTGCGCAGGAACAACGCCTGATCCCCGCAACATACACTTCAGTCCACCATTTCAAATAACTAGTGTAGATTTCGCTCGTCTTGTCAATGTCAACGTTGTGCAAATTTACTGACACTTTCCGTGCATCGTCTCGGATTTTGAGTGAGTACCTGTGGGGCAGAAAATCAGAGGCTGCTCGCGCTTAAAATCTTCACCAATCCGCCATATTCCCAGCGCAGATGCAATTTTTTTGTATCTGGCTGAAAGTTTCGGAAGACAAATACTGAGTCTGGCGCAACAGTGCTGTCTCCTACACCAACTTCTCACGCTCTCTCGTGGAAGAAAAACGTACCAGAATGGAGAAGTCCTGACTCTTCGCTCTCATGGTTTTACGTGAAACAAAGAATTTCATGTAATTTTGCTTCTGTGGGTACCAGGGTCAACCAAGTTTGAATGATGTCCAGAAACTTGCACCAAATCACATAGCCACTAGAAATGTACTTCCATCTCCCACCAGATGACCTCCAAGTTCATGTGGAAGCATTATAAGCTGACCAGCAGACCCTCAAATCACAAAATCATTATTCGAAACCTTCACTTTCTCTAAACCATATCAGTGTGAAACATCCAATTAGCTGGCCAAAAAGCTACATTCTGTTTGAGCGAACAAAATATTATTTCAAGTGAATAGAATGATGAAGAAGAATCATATCACAAGAAAAAGAGAAACGTGGCTGAGGCTGTTGAAGAAGTTGGTCTGTCATCTTCGTGATATGAAGAGGTGAAGGAAATCATGAAGAGCACCGTAACACTAAAAGAGAAACGTCACATCGAGCTCTGAACGCTGATCATGACGTGTAGCAGAAAATCCTGACTGAATCGCTAGACAAAGTTTGAGTCGACGGCAGAAATTGAACATGCACAGGAAATATGCACCTGTTCTTTTCATTCTCAACCTTCTTGATTCTGCATGTAGAAGCGATGCGACACATGGGGGTACCGACAAAGATAATGTCTTCATCGAACAGTAGTAAGGGTTCTACGGCATTCATGTTCTACAGCGAAATCAATCTTTAGAATATGGAAAACGTACGAGACTTCGCCAGCAATGCTGAACAAGCTACTGAAAACGACCAAATCATGAAATTCATGCTGAGACGAAGTGGTGATAACAGAGTGACGACGAAACCAGCTACATAACCCGATGTCGACAGAGCAATTCGTACGAACTATGGTATACACTGTCGGTACTGCAGCCTGCCGCCATGCATATGTTATGCATCATCATCAGGGCAAATGACTACATGTCTTACTCTTGCATACCCCAAACAAAGAGAACAACTCCACAAGCCTCAGTTTCAGTCTTCAAATTATAATAACAGACTCAAGACACAAATAGAACTCCGCCGGCACTGCTGCAGGTCACCAAGACGACCCCACACAACTCTGATAGTGCAGGGAGTTGATGCAAGCTGTTTCAATACAGAGCTCTGCAACTTTCACAGTTCATGACAGGCTTTTACGAAGATGTGTCGACATAAGTAAATAAAGACTAGAAGAGACTTCTTTTCGCTATCACATAACAGGAGCTGTTTCCAATCAAACAAGACCACTCCAGCGGGTGCTAAATGAAGGCATGGGGGAATACCCGATTCCTACTGTACAACAGGAAAGAGTCTCACTGCAGCCGCAAATGACTTCCAACGATCAAGGCAGAATATAAAACAACATGATCGTCCATAGATCGTTGGAACAAAGGCACTTATAGATTCAGATCATAGGTCAAAAAAATTGTCCAATTAATAACAGGCAATACATTACAATCATTGAGCCACGCTATGCGCTACGAGTTGAACAACCTTACATAATACCTGAACAAAGCCAGTCCCCGAACAGGGGTTAAGACCAACACGACACACGGCTGGTGTTCGTGTTTAAAACAACACAAATCAGGATCCTCTGTTGGTTGCACATTCGAATAAAGGATCAGTTAATCATCTGCTGCTTTGCATCAGAAGCACCAATGCCAAGAGTGATATGAATATCGCTTGACTGTCCTCCGCCATCCATTTCATACTAGCCCATAAACGGGAAATCATTTTCTTCACAGGCGATGCATGTGCATCTTCATTCTATCGAAGTGTCCACAGAACTTATTCTACAAGAGCATGACACCCACCCACCTTCACTCATGCTGTGGATTGCATCGAAGAAGTTTCTCAGCTACAACACAGATCCATCTTCCATCCCCCACATTGCTACAATTCACCTCTATTCGATCCATCCCTCCTCTGAAATCGTGTCTGGCTCAGAAAGGGCGAACATTGTCATTGATTACTGATCGCCGTTGACTCTCCAGTGAATCGACTTTGCAAGCGACCACGACCGTGGTTGTTATGACCTCCACCCCCTTCACTAGAAGACATGGCCAAGATGTCAGGGGTGATCTCCCAACTACCACTCTGCCGGCCCCTGCTAGTCCGACGGTTCGCTACAGCTGGACGGCCTTGCTCGATAGGACGTGGGTCAAAAGTATCCTTCATTTCCATTCCAAGTTCACTTCCAGTGCTAACCCGACCCCCAGCCATCTCCAGCTCACCCCCTTCGCCGACCATATCCTCGGCATTGGGCCAAGTGGCTTTATATCCCTGTTCCAAATCAGACTCTTTAGCAGCACTGGATCCATGTGCTTCTCCCATATCTCTTGTCTGTTGAACACGTCCCATCTGTCTGGGGATGACTTCTTGTACTCTACTTCTGAACTGGTTCTTGGAAGCCGGAATCGTTGAGCAGAAGATCTCGTTGAAGTTCGATACACACCCTCGATTGTAAGGATTCACCTTGTTGTCATAACGGTAACGGAAGTTCTCATAAGTTGTCTGTAGTTCAAGGAAACAGGGCCAGGATACCATCAACGCTCAAAGAGAATGGATAATAAACCAGACCAACATGACATAAAAAATGAACATTTGAACTCGTGACTTAAAATCATCGCACATCACGTTACAGCATAGGTGCAGGATCAAGGAAATAAACACCTGGTTTGTACCAATGAGGTACAGATGGAACACGGTAAGTCCACCCACGAACCATACACAAATGAAAGTATACACCATGAGGACAATGGAAGCTGGCGACTTGGAAAGAGCTTTCCAAACTGTGCGATCTCCTTCATCCACCAGGATTTTTATGTACATTGCACACATTGCAAAGACATATACACATAGTAACAAAGTCGAAGACACGAACATGAAAAAGAATCGATAGTTTCTCTGCGTACAAAACAGTACAACCCATCACAAGAAACACGCGCAACAAACATCAGGAACTCTTGCAGCACCATGGTCAAAAACGACGTTTTCGAGAAATTGAACCAAAACGCAATCATCTTAGAATTTTCCCACCACAAGAAGCTCGCAGAACCCACCACGCGTAAACAGTACGATAAAAATGATTCTTAAATCACCGGGCACATACTAACGTAGTATACGTGCAAAAGCAGAGAGGTGCATACCTGGCCGATGCATTGCCCAACCCAAGGGCAATGATGATCAAATCGTAGAACGCAATTGTTGCATATGGAGCAGTGGGAACAACGGGGTGGACGATAAAGCATGCAAGTGTCGCAGTACTTTGTTTTCACAGCGACTCCATTGACAATGACATCCTTTGTTCGTGGCAGGCGTGAGCGTGGAGTCTGTGCTCCCCATTCCCCTGGAGAATTATTGGAAACGAAGTCTTCTTCAGGTTCAGGGGGGTGAAGGTTACGAGGAATAATCCCTGGATCCCTCCCGGAGGTCAGCAGCAGTAATACCAGGACCTGTACAAAGTACATTCCCCGTACACGTCATAATGCATGAGCTTAAGGCGGAAAGAACGCACCGATTCACTAACTTAGAGATATTCAAATAGCCCAGCAGATTAAAACTCAGCGACGAGCTGAAAATATGCAAACATAATCCATAGCATACACATAATGACTTTAACTTCAGAAGCTAGCACCAGAAGATTTGTGCACTTACATAAGCCGTGTAGATGGCGGTAACTGCAACAATTGCAACTCCCCCATTGTTGTTAAAGTGATGAAGCAGGTGACGACCGACAAAATTACAGAAACACACCGAAGGTGCTACGATCAAGAAAATTGTGACCGCTAGCGACCTTACATCAGGACCAAAAATCAATCTCCCACAAAGAAAGAACCTCTGCACATCAATCACTTCGACCATCAGCCACTGATCACTGTAGCTCCCAGCATAGGTCAAGGAGTCTTCATGCCCAGATATTCTCCTACGCAAACCACCACCTTCGCTGAAGGATACCAGTGAGTGCATTCACATTGGTTATATGATCAGGGACCCGGATAAAAACCCTCAAGGTTTAATATAATTCGATACCCTAGTCCTCAACTCGAAAGATAAGCGAGTTTTCAAGCCTAACCGGCAACAATAAACCAGATTTTTGCTTCGATTTCGTAATTCATGAAAGAAAACCGTCAATATCATTCCCTACGCTACCCTACAACCTTGCTGAAAATTAGAAAGTCACCAATAAAAACTTCTCCCGAGATTTGTAAATTTTAAAATAACATTATTTAGATTTTAAATAGCGATAAGGTTCATTGATTGGACAGCATTCTAAAGGTGCTTATTCAATGATGAATCAGTACCATAACATAAGCATGATGTACGACAGTGAACTATAGCTCCGAAAATTCCGCAGCCACACATGTAGCTAAAAATAATTGAAATCATAAGCGTGATGCATTCAATTGTCTCGTAGGTTGATCCCCTCTACATGAACACTCTGGGCACCACTGATTGCCCTACAAATTTCTAGGTCTCGGAAACATGAGGAATCTAGGTGACCGTTGCCACACTTCCCTGGCGTAATGATAGGAAGAAAAATAAAAAAATAAAAAATAAAAATAAATAAAAAAGCCCCATTGGCAGAAAGAGCAATGCACCTGGTTTGAGTTACAAATACCACCTCACACAGGCATGTAAAGCACGCACGAATATTACAAGAAAACTCTACGATAGATATTCAGCTCTGTAACACGTAAAAGTTCCCCATTCCCTTCTGACATAGAAGAACCCACTCCGTTAATGTAGATCCTGATTGACAACCTCGAACTCGCATAATTTTCTCACGCCCCAGAATTCCACAACAGACTTCCCATCGATACCCAGACAGCGCGCAATACAGGGGGTAGCATTCGACAAGACAACCGAGTGCGACAGCTCGTCCAGATAAAAAAGCAACAGTTTTCGAGTCAATCGTCGTACACACTACACACCATAACCAGTCCACCAAAAAACAAAAATAGTAAAAACAAACCAAAAAAAACTCAAAAAACATATAAATAAATAAACAAATAAAAATTCGAAAAACGACAGTGAAAGAAGAAGACTCCGCACTTACATTACTACCCTTCCAAACTTGATACACTCGTTGGCCCATTCCTCTCTGACTAGGGTCTTCTCCCATCGCGATTGCCCTACTACTCCCGCGCCACCGACGACAGCTTCTTCTGCCCCTGGCCGATCCCTGTCCTGTCGTTCCTTCCTCCCCTTCCTCACTCCCACCTCCTCTCCCGGTGGTGATTCTCACCCGCCTTACGCCATCTCACTTGACCTGCTGCTCGTAGTATCACCACCCCCTGATCTCATTCCTCCTCGCCATCGCTGGCCCCCTCCCACGGAGCCCCACCATGCGCCACTGCTCCCGACAGTGAACGCAACAGCAAATGAGGGAAAGAGAAGAAGCAGAAGAAGAAGAAGAAGAGCACCAATAGCAGCAGCGACGCGTAGAATAGAGAAGAGCTCTTCCAGCGTGAATTAACTACGCTGGCAAATGCGAGCGCGTGCGAGACGATCGAATTGCGGGGCACGGGACAAAGCAAACGCCCGTGGAATAGGGTGGCTGATCATCCATCCATATATTCATCCATCCATTACAGCACTAGCCAGTCTAGCCGCCTCCTCACGACTGTCGGCGGCATGCAGCCAACTCGGAGGATGGATGAATTAATGCGACCCGATTTGTTTATCATTCATTCTCTCCTCATCCGTGAAACTGCGCGTGCTCGGTTCTCCTCCCTTTTCCAATTCGACCCACGCGGTTGCCACCTTGGCTCCTCTTCTCTGACAGCTGGAGGTTTGCTTTTATTAATGAAATGTTGTTAGATAGAGTTGGGTTTTTTTTATTACTTTCGATTTAACGTGGCTTGAAATATTTGTAGATTGTACATAAAAGACTGAGTCGTTGGATGAGTGTAAGTTGCCTTTTCAATAAATGAATAAATAGATAATTGGGGTATTGAAGTTTATTACGTTGGAAATCATGTTTAAACATGGGTTCTGAGTATGAACTCTTCTGGCACACATTTGTAGGTATATTTTTCCGGTACACATTTGGTGAGCAACTTCAATATCCACTGTGATATGATTGGCAACTATGAAAATGAATAATAAACAATGCTAATGAGCTTGTCATTAATTAAACAAAGAACATAATAATAACACTAATAGTAATAATAGTAATAATAGACTCTTCATCATGACTACATGATAGATAATCTACAACACCCTGTAAAAAAATACAGGAAAATCTTTGCACATTCATGAACATACATAAATTAAATAAACAAAATTTCTATCTACTGTGAGAACAAATAAACAATCAAAATAACTTAAGCACAAAAACATCAAATTAGATAAAAATGGATGTTGATTGCCCTATACTTCAGATTGTATTTGTAACTTTTTAATCGTCAAAATATAGATATAAATGATTTGGGACATTGTTGGCTTTAGAGTTTGTTTCAATCATGGTGTTTTTCGTTTCTTGTTTTTTTTTTACTATACTCTACATGTTTTTATTAACTATGTATTGGGATATCTCTCTCTATATAAGTATACACATACCCAAATATTGCCATTGATATATTTCTCCTTTAAAACTTACCAAGTTCAAAAAGTTTAAAATCTTCGAAATGTTTAACAACATGCACTGATATTAATAATCTAATGTGGTGACATGTGGACAGGCGGCTTTCGATCAAGCTCAGGCTTTCAAGCAAAGTGTAGCTGTCGGGGCAGTTATTGTAACTAAGATGGATGGGCATGCCAAGGGAGGAGGTGCTCTCAGCGCGTAAGTTTGACCTAAGTAATTTATATCTTTTATCAAGGATAATGTGTAACTTTGTTGGATGATAAGTCAGGGCAAACTATCAATCGTTGTCCGGATTACAGACCGCTAAACATGGCCTTTGGTTTCAGAGTGGCAGCCACAAAAAGTCCGATTATCTTCATAGGTACAGGAGAGCACATGGATGAGTTCGAGGCCTTTGAGACCAAGACCTTTGTAAGTCGACTTCTAGGTGAGTTTCATGTCGTTTATATTACATAACGCTGTGTTGTTGTATTGTGGGCTACAATTTATGTCTGATCTAGCTGATCGATTATAATGTCTGTCATGTCGCTCCTTTCCAGTTTTCTTTAGGATGCTGGAAGTAATATTGGAATTTTCTCGGGTGCAGGTATGGGTGACTGGTCAGGCTTTATGGAAAAGATTCAAGATGCCGTCCCAATGGACCAGCAACCCGAGCTACTCCAAAAGCTGTCCGAGGGCAATTTTACTTTGCGCATCATGTATGAGCAATTTCAGAACATCCTGAAAATGGGTCCTCTCAGCCAGGTGACTGACTACTTTCCGATTTTTGTTTGCGTTTATTGCTCATCCTGGAATTTTTCTGAGGGGAACTTTTTTGTTTCTAAACAATGGAGGTTCGATAGTTGTACATCTTCAAGTTAATGGTTATTTTAAAAAAAAAAAGTCCTACTTTGGACATGTACTGAAGTGCCTGTTGTGTTATTTGGCAGGTGATGTCAATGATTCCAGGTTTTAGTCAAGAGTTTATGCCGAAAGGTCGAGAAAAAGAAAGCCAGGCTAAGATTAAGAAGTTTACGACAATGATGGATTCTATGACAGATGAAGGTATCCTTTCTTGGTCTTTCTCTGTGGTCTCAAAATACGTATGTTTCCTTACTGGAAGTCGGCTTGTTTCTTTGTCGTCCTGTTTACACTTTTGCTTGATCAGTTTTTCGTTAGTGAGTTCAACGATGTTATTGGCCTCATATTAATCTTTGTGTAATTTCTGGTGGTGCAGAACTAGACAGCACAAACCCAAAGCTAATGACGGATTCACGCATATACAGAATTGCGAGGGGTTCTGGACGTGGCTTGCGTGAGGTTCATGAAATGCTGGAGGAATTTAAGCGATTGGCCAAGATCTGGAGTAAGATGAAAGGACTTAAGATTCCTAAAAAGGGTGATATGAGTGCTATGTCTCGGAATATGAATGCACAGCACATGAGTAAGGTGCTTCCACCTCAGATGTTGAAGCAAATCGGAGGAATTGGAGGCTTGCAATCGCTCATGAAGCAGATGAACTCCAAAGAGTTCTCCGGCATGTTTGGAGGTGGTGATGGTTTAGATATGAAGTAGTGTACTTGAACTGTAGGTTTTATTACTCTTGATTGGGTGTAGCTATGGGGGACGAGATCTTCAAGAGTGCTCTACAGGGTTGTAAATTACCCCGTGTTGATTACAGCTTTTTCAGATAGTACCCTCCTGCACTCGCCAAACGGAAGCTTTTTCTGTGTAGAAACCTACCTTCGTCAGGTAGAGATTGATTATGTATGTGTCAAGCCAAGTAGGATGCTGATCTTTAGCTTGTTGCCTCTGCTTTCGTCATGAATCTGATTTTGATTACATACTTAAAATAGCATTATTTTCATTGATGTTCTTCTTTTTGGACATGTTACTTTGGAAAGCTTTAACTGGTGAAAGAGGTAATTTAAAAAAAATAATATCTCGAGCAGATTAAATTGACTGTCTTCCTGGAGATTATATTTTGTTGCGCTGTATTTACCGCCACTACTCATTATGTCTAGTGTTATTTCACGTGAAAGAGTGAATGTGCTTTTCGATTTTGGCACCAACAAAATACAAAATTTCGATTAAATAATGTGATTAGAACTATCTTTCAAGATTTTGCCTTGACAAGTACGACCAATGCAAAAATTACCACACAAAAATTCTTTCTTTGGAATTATAAGTAGATAATGCTTGCAATAACTTTTTTCTGTATAGTGATTTGTGGTATTGTGAACGATAGTGCATAAATGAGTCTTTTTTGGTTTTGGTTTTGGTTATTTGTTTATTTTTAAGATATTTATTTCTCTTCCTTTCTTTTCCTCCTGAAACATTAACTGCCTTCACTTTCTGATGTGTTTGCATATTTTGTGAGTTATCCTCTACTGTATTTTCTATTACATGGATAATGTTAGAAACAGAAACTGCATTCTGATGATTTCAAAAAATCTTCGCATATGTGAATAAACATGACTAAGAATCAAGAAAACTTTCCGTTCACACAACCTTTTTTTTTCTTCAATTTTTGAGGAAAAAATGAGAAAAAGTAGATAACGATGTTTTATGAGGAATACAAGCATACACTTTTATTTATTTATTTTTTAACTTGGTTTCTTTTCTCAAATAAGAACATCGATGTTTCATTCATAACTTATAAATTTTCTTCCAGAATCAACTGCATATGGACTTATCATCCGAAAGAAGGACGACATCCTAGTTCTGTAACTCCAGAAGAAACCCTGGTATATATAATGGAGGCAGTCAGAGCGAGAAAATACGAAGAAGGAAGGACAACACTGGATTTTGTGATACAGTGGCACTGGCCAAAGTCCCCTTTCATTCCCTGCGCGTTGTTTCACTCAAAGGGTTTCCATTCCACCAAGCTCTCCATAGCCCTTCCCGCTTCCGCCTCGCCGTCTCCGCGCACCTGACTGACCCAACTCTCCTCGCCCGCTCAAATTTCGAACGAATCCCTGATACCCATTTCCTGGGACATTTGCACTGCGCGTTTTGGTGGAGTATCGCGCCTTCATGATGCATTCTGAGTAATGCGTCAGGCAACCGGCTGTTGCCGGCGCATAAGAGAGAGCTATGCTGGGTCGGCGATGGCATGAAGGCATGGTGTGTTAGTAAGGTTCCGTGGAACGCCTTTTGTGTGTAGGAATTGCAGGCTGAAATTTAGAGAGGAAGCAAGAAGAAGAATTGCAGCATGCTCTTGCGTGGTTGCTTGTTAGGGTTTCTTAAATGTGATTTGTGCGAGGGAATTGAGTCCACTTGGTTTTGGTGCTCATGATTTTCATGGTAGGAGTGTTGTAGTTGGGTTTCTAGTTTTGTTTACTCGCTTTGATTCTTTCGTGGATGTCAGTTTTGAGAAGGCCGAGGCTTGTATAGGTTCCGTTGTAGGTGATGGCTCTAATGGAAACGGATGATCGCAGTGTTGTGCCATTTTTTGTCTTCTCCAACACTCGCTGTTTATTCACTCATTTTAGTTGTCGCGCTTTATTGCAGGTGTTGTCTGATGTTCCTATACTTTTCATGGAAGGGGCACATTTCGACCAGGGTTGATATTCTCCGCATGCGTATGTTTGCGGGAGTTTCGTGGGAGGGGCGAGCTTGAAATGGGAATATGAGGTTAACAGCTTAATTTTGTCAATAACCCGTGGAATGCTCAGAAAAAGGCTAATCTTGCTCTAGGTTTTGGGGTCGTCCTGGAATTTGGATAGGTTTTCTGTTTTTTATACAAATATTTATTTTTCGAGAGATTTAAAGGATTACTGCCCAGGATGAGTGCACAGGAAGTTCAAACGTGCGGGAAACCTCTAGATACTCTCATTGAAAGAGTGCTATGCACGAACATATTGTCTTCTGATTACTTCAAAGAGCTCTTTGGTCTTCAGACATACACCGAAGTTGTGGACGAGATTTATAATCACGTGGACCACGTGGAGCCATGGATGACTGGGAACTGCCGTGGTCCGTCAACAGCGTTTTGTTTACTCTACAAGCTATTTACTTTGAAATTCACCGTGAAACAGATGCAAGATATACTTGACCATCCAGACTCTCCATACATTCGGGCTCTAGGGTTTTTATACCTGAGGTACGTTGGAGACCCTAAGACTATCTGGGATTGGTTCGAACCATATGTGAAGGACCCGGAAGAATTTTCTCCAGGTTCGAACAAGAAAATGACAACAATGGGTGTATATGTGCGGGACATTATTTTGAATCAGTACTATTTCGATACTCTCTTTCCCCGCATTCCTGTTCCTATTCTGCGGCAAATCACTGCATGCCTTGAACGTATGAAGCTTCCAACTCAACCCTCGGGAGTTACTGGGAACAGTAGTCGACATGGTTCAGATGATACAGCTAGAAGACCACCCTCCGTCAAGGCAGCCTTGTCAGTGTCTTTCGGGCAGCGAGCTCCCCACCGGGCATTTACTCGAGATTCTTCTCCTGTTCGCCGAACAGCACCGATTCGGGAGGCTGGAGGCGCAGACGCTGAAAGAGACAAAAACAGGGATTATGGTCGAGACAAAGGGAGGAACTCTCGAGACAGGGACAGGCGTGACAGTGAAGCTCGGGACCGTGGGCGTGACGGGGAGCAGAAGGATAGAGCCATAGAACGAGAGAGAGAAAGGAGTAGGGATTATGATCGTGAAGGAAGTCGCGGAAGGGGTAGAGATGAAAGGGACAGAGACAATGTCAGGGATTATTCTAGATATAGGGACGTAGACAGAAGTCGAGATAGTGAACGGGACAGATCAAGGAATAGAGATAGAGGGTGGGAGAGGGAGGATGACAGGTCTAGGGACAGAAGGAGAGATCGTAGTCTTAACAGGGATAGAACAAGAGAAAGAAAGTATAATGGTGAACGGCTCCGTAGTCGAACTCGCAGTCGCAGTCCTGCGCATCACAGTGAAGGTGTGGATCGTAATAGATCCAGAAGCCCCGCTAGGGCTGCTCCTGCGTCAAATAATCTGAAGAAGTTGCTGGATGTCTATGGAGATGCTAGCCATGCAAAGAGTGAGAATGATACTACCAGTGGCTTCAATTCAAAAGCGTCAGTTGATGATGATGTCATTCATCTTGGAGGCTCAAGATGGAGGTAGTTAGGATCTTGAGGGCCGTGAGTTTTAGTGTGCACTTTGTCTGCAGAGTCTCTTGAAGTGATATAAGGACTCATTCTGACCAGTGTTTAGGTTCTTCCAACTCTTTGCAGTGCCACGGATTGAAAGCTTTCGGCAGTCTTTTGTTCTTAATTCTCACTTGAGACTGCCATTTTACTATTTCTACGATGGGTTGATAAATACTGTACATGGATATTTGTGTGGGTATGCTGTATCGCTCTACAGCCCTGCCTGTCAGACGTGCCTTGGCCTTTTCGCCTTTTTCAGTAGCTGCGTACAAGATTGCAGGTAGCCCCAGGCAGAGTAACTTTCATAGTGGATCCAGCATTGAACCTCTGGTGCTGGGTTTCAAGTACTGCCAGCATCATCGGTGTGGCGAGTTTTTCATTTTCGAAACACTTTTATTTATTTATTTATTTTGGCCGGTGTGGTTGTTAGTGGTTCATTCATGAGGCATCGGGTGCTGACACCACGAATACAAGTTCTTCGTAATGTCCTGATAGAGATTTCATGAAGGTAGACGAAGGAGTGTTTAATTGTCCCGCCGATTATCATTGGAACTAATGCAAGTTTTATCGTTCCTCGTCACATTTAGTATGTTCTACCACATTGGATGAATTTATCGAGCTTGGATTCTACTACAGGCAAGTAGTAACTCATCCAATGGCTCAAATGTACTTTAGTGGGAGGTTGTTTCTGGAAGGCTGTGTGACTTCTGCATATGATGACTTCGGTTGTCGTAATTGTCGATGGAAAGTCGTTCCATTCAGCTCGATTTTGCGAAACTGATCACCTGAAGTTTCCACTATGTCTTTAATGAAGAGATCCTTCCGGGGTCGTATCAATTCCAGTATCAGATTGTCATAGACGTTTGTCCTCTATGAAGAGATTAGAGCTCCTATGTAAACGCGTACTCTGTCATGATGTACTTATCCCTAGTAGTCTTTAGCATGGCCCCAAAACCTGGTTTTTACTGTCAGACATCGCGTTTGCATAGGAGCTCGAATCTGTTTTTTATTAACATAGAGCTCTTGTGCTGAATCCGAATTCTGTTCTGGGAGAGGTCACTGGTCTTCTTTATCATGTTTGCATTTATGTGAGTAATAGCATCCTATTTCCAACGTATGATCATGTAGCGTATGAGACTTCTCCTGAACACCATAGTGCATGAATAAGGTATTATCACATGACCGTTTTAAGAATCTGTCTAAACTTGGGTGGTGAAGATTCTTGTTTCTTGACTGAGGCAATTAATTACTCATATGTTCGTGTCTGGTGCATCAAATATGAAAACGTGATTAGTTACGACCACTGAGTGAAAGTTTCCTGAATACAAATTATTTATCAGATCCAGACAGTTCTGTTCATCTGCATCAGATAAAAACTGTTTACAAATGTAGCAAAACTAATTGTTAGATGTTTAATGTTCATCATATATTAATTTAATAAAAGTTGTAAATATGACAAGTAAAATAATTGAATATCAGTACATACAATGTGCACAATTATATTGTCAGCACATTGAGTATCCTACTATTCCATTTGTATATTTTAATTTTAGTTTGTAATGACAATTTTGCATAGTTTTAGAGCATAGGGAGTAAGTATGAAAGATTGAGTTGTTTAAGGGTTTAGTAACAATCAATTGTTCAATATTTAATGGTTATAGAAAGAGAAAATAGATTTGTAATGTACAACATATGTAGCACTTGTAGATGAAATTGAGATTAGTTGGTTAATATGTTCAAAATCATAACTACTAACATAATTTGAACATTATTATTTGATGATAGTTTAGTTATTCTTGTATTTATTTATTTAATTATTATTCTTGATTTTTTCCTTAATTTTTAATTCAAATTTTAACTTAGTGTCTAAGTTACAAACATTAGAATAATTTCTTTTCAAATTTTGACAAAAATAGTTCTTAATGTTTAGATAGATTGTTATGTTGGGCTTTTAAAATTATGGCTTTATTTTGTGATAAGTGAATGCCTTTACTTATAACATTAATGACTAAAAATATTCCAAACTAATATATCAATAAAATCAAAATTTAATCATTAGAATATTACAATCACATAAATTGATTTAGTTTGGTTTGATTTGATTAATTTCAATAATAGATTCTAAAAAATTCATGATTATTTATTAAAAAAATAAAATATTCATGACCAGAATTCATTTTTTTAGAAGTTTAATAACATTTTGTTTGAGCCATTGAGTTTAAATTAAAATTTCCTTTAAAACCTATAAAAATGCATTTGGGATGAAAGCTGCCAAGCCTAAAGTCAGGTCAGGTTTGGCGCAGGTTTGGTTACGGACCCACAACTGGCGGGACTGACCATGCCTCGTCAGCCTACGCCTCAGCATGGGCGGTAAGAAAACCATAACAATATCCGGTTTGGATCAGGGTATCAACTTCACTAGGTCACAGAATGTGTCAAAATTCATCCATCTGTTTTTTTTTATCGAAACCTCATTCGTTCCTCCAAAATGGGGTCCGTTTGTTGATTATTTGATGAGTCAATCCCATCGTAGCATGTGAAGGAAAAGATTGACCATGACCAATGACCAAGAGCTCTCTTATTTTATTTTATTATTATTATTATTATGTATATATATATATATATATATACATACATACATACAGTGACAAACAAAACCGAGTACAAAATCTGAAGTGCCAACTTTCAAGAGCAATTATAGAAATTTCAATGATTGCTTTATAAATCTGAAAGTTACATGGAATAATATACACAGTCTTGTACATATGTACAAAGTTGCACATCAAATTGATAACTAAACATCCTTCTACAAAGTCAAATCAACAACTATGTCTTGTACTCAGTATTGTTCAAAGAAAATCTTCAAACTTCAATATTTAGTCCAATAACCTTTTGCTTCCAAAACAACTGAAATCCTTCTTAGCATACTTTTGTATAGTTTCTCACAATCTTTTGCATCAAAACTAGGGTAAATACTACAAACATTCTCCCACAATTCTTGAACACCTCTTGGCCTTGGAGTGACTTGGCTTAAACGCTGTTTGAGAAGGGCCCAAAAATGTTCCATTGGATTCAAATCTGGAGATTGAGCTGGCCATCGAAGGAGCTGAAATGGCTAAAAAGAGAGCCAAAACTGAACACTTTTTGCCATATGTTTGGGATCATTATCATGTTGAAAAACCACCTTAGTAGGATCTAAGTTGTAATTCTGTGTGGTACTTTGCAAGTAGGTTTCTAAATTTTTTTTGTACAACTGTTGCTCCATTCTACCTTCAATTTGATACCAAGCACCCGGCCCAAAAATAATCATACAACCCCAAATCATAATTGAACCACCACCATGTTTGACAGTTTGACTAACATGTTTAGGTCCAGGTCGTTCTCCTTCTCTCAACCAACACCAAGACATACCATCTGAGTTGATTAGGTTAATCTTTGTCTCATCACTGAAAATAACCCGTCTCCAATCATCAACGGTCCAATTTTTGTATTTATGAGCAAAATTCAACCTTGCAAGAACATGTCTTTTGGCAAGTAGAGGCTTCTTTTGTTGCACACAAGCACCCAAACCAGCTTCTCTCAAACCATGCCTCAAGGTGATGTCTGAGAAGTGTTTACCTGTTTTTTCTCGAAGTTGTTTTGCAGCTGCACTTGCCGTTTTGAGACAACCAGCAATGACAAGGTGCACACCAAGTCGCTTCTCTTGCCCTCCTAAAACCTTTGGACGTCCTCCTCTTTGCTTTTCTATTTCACTACTAATCTCCCTTCTCAGATGAGCTATTGAAGACTGACTCATTCCAAGTGAGTCTGCAACTTTTCTTGTAGAAACACCACTCCTAAGCTACACCAATGCTTGGTGCTTCAATGATTCACACAACCGAGGCATAGAGATACAATTGACAAATCAACTTTCACTATAGATAGTACACAACAAGAGCAACACAACAAACAAAAAATGCCCTCAAATCTTGCAACAAGGAGTGTACATTGAAATTTCGAAATTCAGCAAGAAGAAGCAACCAAAACTGAGTATGCACGTCTGTGTGCTTCTACAACACTTTTCTCATAAACCCTACCTCAAATGATAATGAGATTTTTCATCCATGTAGAGAACTGGATGAATACACACAATAAAAAAGTAATTCTATCAATTGACTTATGTGTCAGTTGGAAGGATCAATGAACTATGAGTGTTCAGATTTTGTACTCGGTTTTGTTTGTCACTGTATATATACACATTAAAGGAATTGTTAAATTGACCCAAGTATTTACTAAATTGACGCATCCATCCTAACCATCGTCAAAAGCTTTTCCACAGCTGGATCTATATTGGTCAAAAACCAATGAAAAAATGGTTGGATTCTTAACCTATTGTAAATATTTGGGTCAATCTAACAATTCCCTATCTATTATATAAAACAAACTTCAGTTTTCGTAAGATAAAGGAATGTTCGGAAGGGTTGTAACTCTTCTAAATACTTTCTGTGATTCATTATGTATTGATTCCTGCCGGTATGCACCATTCAATCAGAGATGTTGTCCACATGGAGTTGTATACTGTTCAGAAAACCATATTGTAAATATTGATTGGTATTGTAGCTTGTAATCCATCTCTTTGATGTCACGGTGAGTCTTTTACATTTTCAGACCGTTAGAAACTTTGTTGAGTTTTGGTTGTGAGTTCTTGGCTCAATGCATGATTTTCTGTGTTTTTGATAGTGGTCCTTCAACCACGATTCCTAGTAAGTATCTTACGAGATATATGACCCAGTTGGAACCATGCTAAATGTAAATTTTCACTGGCATCACAAATTCCTGACTTTCGATGACCTGACGTGCAGGTACCTGGGTTTACAACACTCAAAGTGAAAGAGACGAAGCCGAGAGTATTTCCCGTTTCCACGTCGTGGATCTCTCTGACTTCTGTGCAAAACTGAAGTAGAAGATTCTCACGGGGAAGAACGGCAATCCCACACCCCAGCCGGATTGGGTCACAAATTCCTCCCTGCAAGGCGCGAGGCGTGAGCTGTGACGGAGGCGCGTTCCTGTTCGTTTTGTGTTTCTATGCTCAGCCTGGAAAAAAGTATAAATCAGCATTTTATTTCTGCTTAAGACACTTCGAGGAGTACTTTCATGTGGCATTGATCGTTATCACCACTTGATATTGATGTTTGAATTTCACGTGATGGCACTGTAATGCTGTAATATAACTTGATTGCATTAATAACAAGGTGGATTTTCACATTGTGAGCAATGTAACAAGCAGCTGGCGACCAAGACAGTACGCAAGTCTGCGCTGGCTACAGGAGGTGTGAAGAAGCCTCATTGCTCCAGGCCCGAGATGATGGCCCTACGAGAGATCCGCAAATACCAGAAGTCGACGGAGCTGCTGATTCGTAAGCTGCCTTTCCAGCGGTTGATGCGTGAGATTGCGCAAGGCTTCAAGTGGGATCTCCGATTCCAAAGCTCCACGGTGCTGGCATTGCATGAGGCGTCGGAAGCGTACTTGGTTGGTTTGTTTGAGGATACAAATCTGTGCGCTATTCACGCGAAGCGGGTGACCATCATGCAGAAGCACATTCAACTTGCTGGATTCAATGAGATAATGACGTCCTGTGTATTTCATTGCAATCAGGTTTGGAGGCTGTGATCCGTGGCACTAGCTTTCTGTGCATTGACTGCAAATTACTTTGTGTAGTAGGACAGAAATGAACATTGAAGAACAGAGTGTCGAAGTCGAAGTTGAACGCCGGACCTCTGTGCATGTGTGTTCATGTCGCCCAAAACAATGACCCCTAAGTTGGGCGCCGGACCTTTGTGCCGCAACACTTATGAGGTAACAGACTTCTAAACCTAGGTAATTTCATAGTTTTCTTGAACAACTGTATTGAGATATTTGAAAAATATATGATGCCATTTCTTAGTACTTATGAATACATGTTTTGCAGAGTGTATATCATGACGCAAATAATGCAAAAATTCCAGACCTGCAAAGGGTGCTTGGGGAGCTGAAAGGTTCTATGGAGAGTGTGAAGATTTGGATTGAGGTCCAAGGCAAAAGATGGCAGAATCGGGTTGATCGTGTAGAGAAGGATCTGGAGAAAGTTAAGGAAACAGATCAGACAGAGTCTGTGAATTACAGTGTTTGGAATGAATTCCAAACAAAGCTCGTAGGGTTCACGTCAGACACTGAAAAGCTCTTGCGATAAGTGAAAGAGCAAGTATTTATAATGTTGCAATGGAGGTTATTTTTTGGTTCAGAAATGACTGCAAATACAGAATCATTGTGACGCATTATATAGTCACTTTAGGATTATGTTCCACATTCCGCACTACAAATTCAGGAGCGGCCAGGTGATCTTCTGGCATTACCAGGTGCAAACAATGATTGAAGAGAGGATAGGGGAGCAGCTGAAGGGAGAGCTGCTTATCAGTGTATAAGCATATATGCAAGATGAAATACGTCTTCTGTGGACTGAAGTGAACTCTTTAATTAATAGCAAGGCGGACATGGCTGAACAAGTTGAACACCTCACGTTTGTCACCAAATAGGTGAAAGAACAGTCCAGCCTAGAACATGAAATGCTAAAATCTGAGACTTTTTATTTGTGCAAACAATTGCAATCTCTTAAGGGTAATGGTGTTCAGGTAATGGTTGTATTGTATTGTATTGTATTGGTTTTGGTTATTTTGATTAATTCAGAACCATTTGCAAAGGAATCTGGTGGCTTCCTAATTGCGTGGTGATATTGGTTATTGAATGGAAAATCATTAGTGTGGAGAAATCGAAATATTATTGTGGAGAAATTGAAGAGTGAGAATGGGGGCAAACAAGAAGAGAAGTATACTCTAAAGATGCTAAAAATGGACAAGCCCTTTGCAATGGCAACCCACTTGAACAAAGTACTTCATTGTGCACCTACATTATTTATTGTGCTAGACATCAGTTGAGCAAAATTTGTTTGAGTAGAATCATTTTGTTGCTACTATAGGTGAGTTGATGTTGTCAAATTGTGGTCTATGATACATCATGTGTATTGAAGCTAAGGAATTGTAGATTGTGGATGTTTTCAAGTTGAAGTTGTCTTAATTGAGTTTGTTAGTATGTGCACATTACAATTTGAATGAGCTTTATATGCTTTACACCAACACAAAGTTAGATAATTTCGTCTATCTATTAGGAGGTATTTGCTCACCTCTTGGTGCATTGGCATCTACTTAGATTGTCTTCAACACAAACATGCCTATTAGAGGTGCATCTAATGAAGAATTGTGATGTGAAATTGAAGTAATGAAGACATAGGGAACAAATAATGGTAGATTAAGTAGAGCATCCCCACTTGAAATATAATTCTTCAACTATAGCAAAATTTGATAGATTTGTTATTGAAGAATGGTGACAAAAAAGACAAGGTCCACTTCTAAAATACTCAAGGTTTGTAGACCAAGAATTAGAGTAACAAACTCTTAACAAAAGTTAAAGTTTATTTATCTCATCAACAAAATGATACAATATGGAGAGAGCAAGGATTTTGAAAATCAATGGCATCTTTTGAAATTGGAGTCTTTTAATTGAATTTGACAACTTTCACATAAAAAAATTAGCTGAAATGAGTTGAGAGACAGTAGAGAGAGACTTTGTTATAAATCAAAGTAAACTTATTTGAAACAAGAAATATGTATGAATTTGAGAGTTGAAAATAAATAATTCTATTATTAAATTTAAACTCCATGCATTTTAAACTTTGAATGATTTATTTCCAATTTATTTTTGGATTATGATCATTGTATTTTTAAAATATGTTAACCTTCAAATATGAAAAAATAACAAAATAAAATACATTATTTTATCATATGATATTGTTGTATGTTGTGGAAATTTGATGCAATATTTTTTTGGTACCATATATTGAAAATAATGATGAAAATGAACCTAATTAGAAAATTTACTTTATTTTTTTTTTAAAAAAATATACTTTTTACTTTACATATCCATATTAATGGCATTTATAATATCAAATTAATTTACAAACAAAATAACTTGACTATTTTTGATAAACCAAAAAAATAAATTCTACTTGATTTTGAACAATGAAATAATGATAAGACATGTTTTAGAAGACATTAATGATAAGACTGATTTTGAACAATAAATTATTCATAATGCATGTTTTATAAGCATAATTGATTACAACACCAATTGTTTTTAAAAAAGGTTAGTTACATTTAATAAGAACTCAAGGAATGCAAAGAAACCTATGGGAACTTAAAGAACTCATGGAAATGCATGGGAATCCATAGGAACCCATAGGAACTCACAAAAACATACAAGGACACTTTTTTGTGCTTAATGGTATAGATTCAGACTTCTCCAAATATGATCAAAATCTTATATCCTAAAAATATAAAATATAAAAAAATCACCATAAATATGGTTTATCTCAAAGTTCTTTTAACTTTGGTTATTTAAGTTGTAGTAAATAAAAATTATGTTTTTCAATTACAATGTAGAAACATAAATGGTTACATTGTTATGGATATTTATTTATTTATTTATTAGTCAATATTTCTTTACAAGTAGTCAATTTTTTACTAAGAAATCACAAATTAAACTTTTACTTCTTTTTTGTGGCCAACGACATGGGTTTCTACTTTATATATATATATATATATATATATTCATATAAATCCCTTGTAGCATAGGAAGATTCTTAGTTCAGAACCTCAAAAGAGGATTTCTTAAGCCATTTCAAAGCATAACCTGGAAACTTAAAAAGTCTTGTCAAGTTTCTCCATTTTGTGAGTTTTTATATATTTATTTTGTTAAGATTCGATTTATTTTTTGGTATGTAATTGATGGTTGTAATGCATTAATGAAAAAACACAATAAATATATAAATATAAATGTAATTTTAAAAATGTACATAACAATTTAGTAATGTATTATTATGTTTCCGTTGAATCAAATGTGAGAAAAAATAAAAATAAAAAATGGAAACTTGATATTTTTTAGACTAAAAGTACTATGTTCTTTAAAAAAATGTTACAGTTTGAATGTAGAATGCAACCCAGAAGTCATTGTTTTTATTATTCTGTAGGAGGCGTAACAAACATATGGTGTTATATCATATAGATTCTATGTGCTTGTAAATTAAAATTAAAATCATATTAAAATAAAATTTACATGTTTTATACAATGTAATCAAAGATTTTACAAAGTACGCTTTACAAATTACTTTGTTAGAATTACAGTCTGATCTAAACTTGAATTAGAATCATTCACCAAAGAAATTTAAATTTTAAAAATTGCAACCATCTTTAAAGGTGATTACAAATTTCAGGATTAGTTCTTTGCATGTTTCGTTTTTTGAAAAAGATCTTGCGAGAGTTTTTACTACATAGATAGGTTCTCACACAGTCACATGTAACTAGAATAGGTTTTATTCCACACATGATTAATTCATTTTTGTTAATTAAAAGTAGCAGAACAGGAGAAATACCATAAACAAGGCTAACATATTTCTCAAAATAATTCGCCTTCTGCAACAGTAAATTTATCATAATCACCATTCTCTCGACAAAAAATAATAATATTAACGTTGTTATCAATAACAATACAAAACGTAAAAGAGAGAAAAAGAAAAAGAAAAAGAAAGTGATGCAAAATGTCTTGTTACTCCAAAAAGTAAAAAGATATAAAAGTATGGAGTGAAATTTTAATGCAAAATTTTCCACACTTAGTTTCCAAGTGGCAAGTTCTGTGCTTTTCCTGGGAGAAAAAAAAGAGATGACGTGGAAATTACTGATGAGAATAAGAAACGTGTCACTTGCCACGGTTCCATGTGGCCAATATCTGGACCGACGTACGTTGACGTAGATGCTCGACGGAGTTGACAATGCCGACGATCCGTCGGGACTTTCTCGTCGTCACGGGCTGGGAGTATGCTTGTTGAGGACGCCAGTTGCAGGGAGGGACAGAGCTCTGCGCCGCAGGCGGAGCTCACAGCTCTCGAGATTGAACGGGAGTGTGATGCGGGGCCCAGGGTGAGAGTTGACGCCGCGTAATTGCAGTGGGAAGAGACCGATTGAACCTTCGTATTGGTTTTTGTCTCGCGGAAAACTTTTGAGAACTGGGTCAGGTCGAGTCAATTGGACTTGTCTTGGAGATGGTGAAGGAGAAGCTGGTTATTTAGCGCTCATTGCGAGTTTTTGTCCGCAAAATGGTTGCGTAGCCTCGGATAGTCTTGTATGATGACGGTTGTGGTGTCGAAATTGAGTTGGATTGTGTCTGTGGTGTTTCTCATTAGCGTTGTTGCCTTAGTTGGATACCAATTTCCGGCCAAAACTCCGTTAGCGCATTACCAGTTGTGGTATCCGCTTTCCACAGCGAAGGAAAATGCTGCTCCGGGTCCCAACACATCGAATCGTAGCGAGGTTTGTGTCTTGATGGATGCTCTGTTCCACCTTTCAACCTGTAGGTTCGGAGGAGGTGATTTATTTGTTTTCTTTGGTTTACTTGATTTCGTGCAAGCGTAGGTGTGTTTGTGGCGGGTAGATGTTCATGATCTATTGAAGCTCCATGGCGTATGATGGTGTTGTGTCTTGGTTTCTTTCCTGTGGAATCAAATTTCTATCCTTGGTACGTGCAGCTTTATGTTGGGGAAGCTGGTTTGGCGGCTGCCTCACCGGTACCGCTTGAGGGGCGTTTTGAAGAATCGACAAGGTCGCGCGTTGCCGTATGCCTGGTTGGGGGAGCGCGAGCCTTTGAGTTGACGGGCAAGACGTTGATGAAATACGTCTTGAATGCTTACAACGACACAGATGTATTCCTGCACTCGCCCTTGGATAAGGATTCCCACAAGTTTTCATTGCTGAGTGGGGCCTCGGGGCTCGCTAGTGCCCGCGTTTTCATTCCAAAACAACTCCCAGAGAGTAGATTGCAGCGAGAAGTACTCACGGCGGCAAATTCCCCTAATGGGATACAGGTTTGCCACCTTAAACGTGGTCACATATGCAATTCATGATGCAGATAGGTTTTCTGCCATTAGGCATTTCAGTATTGCGAAGGGGTTTCCCTTGTAATCTTTAGGTGATTTTGGTTAGAAATTAGGCTGGTTTTAGTCTTTCTGGTACTACAGCCGTCTTTCGCATTTTCAAACCGTGTTTATATCTTTCATTCAATGAAGACTTAGGGACTGAGTCGTAGTCAATTGGTATAATTCTATTATACTCCCTGCTTCTAGAAGTTTGGAAGAGATTGTGTAAGCTTAAGGGTAAAATCAACAACCTATATTCTGATTCACGTTGCACTGTTTTGCATGGTCCAGGGTCTGTTGCAGTACTTTCATTTGGTCGAAGGCTGTCTCGAAATGATCACTGAGCACGAATCGAAGCACAATATCAAGTATGATTGGATTGTCCGAACCAGGGTTGATGGCTACTGGAGAGGGCCACTTCCACCCTTGAGCTCTTTTAATTCTTCTGTCTACTACATCCCACACGGATCTCATTATGGTGGCCTCAATGACAGGCTAGGCATTGGGAATTCTGAAAATTCGAGAGTGGCTTTATCGAGGCTCAGCCTTCTACCACTTCTTCACAAGCGCGGTGCTAGAAACTTGAACTCCGAGACGGCTTTTAAAGCGCAACTAAAATTCACCAATTTGTGGTATTCATCGACAAATTTTCCTTTCTGCATTCTTACTTATCGGAAGTATTCTTGGCCTCCAGCTTATTTCGGCGTTCCAGTGGCGTCGCTGTCGACAAAGGGTGATTTGAACGGGGCGAAGTGCAGACCCTGCACTCCCAAGTCCAGTGGTTCGGAAGCGCAAAGATTAGTTTCCAAACTTAGCAAAGGTTGGGGGTGGCCTGGGTTAATAGATGGGCTTGAGCTTTGCGATGCTCATCAGGACTGGGAACCGCAATGGCGCACAGTTTATGAGAAGGAATCTGGCGAGCAGCTCTCTGGTGACGCTCAGCGTGTCACGACAAGGTCTGTGTCGGAGTGTGTGCGCGATATGGAAGAGTTTCAAAAGCAGTGGGAGGTTTGGGACGCACCTCCACCCTTAAAGATTTGTTCTGAGGGCAGGGAAGACGAGGTGTATTCTGATTCTGATGAGTCTGTGAATTGAGGATTTTGGGAGATGTTTGGCCGGGTGAGAACATGTCTCGCAGTAGGTATGTTGAATTTGTAACAACTGGGAGAGAAACGATAAGGGATTGAGCTGCGGAAGGTGTAGTCAATGTTTTTCCTTTAGTATGAGTTAAGATTTTCAACAACTTATGCATTGAAGAGTTCTAGTCTTGTCACACGCAGCCAAAGCAAGTTTTTTTAGAGCGGTAATCCTTGGCAGTTTGTAGTGTGAGCTGATGCCAAATTAAAGTAAGAGCTGCAGGGATGTGTGATCCGTTTAACTTTTTGCTAGGGAATGAAGGAAGAGCTGCTTATCTTAATTTACTTGGGTTTTTTTAATGTAAATCAAGCTGGTACAATATGTTCTAAAAAGAATTGCCTAAACAATAGCACTAGTAGCCATATTTAGAAAAAATTCACTAATAAAACAATAATTAACATTTTTAAGGTGAGAGCTTCAAATTAAAAGATGTAAAGGCATGAAAATTGTCTACAAGAAATCAAATTATAAGTATATGAATAAGTGTATATATAAGTATTTTTTATTTTATGAATATAAATGTAAACATATAGATATAGATGTAGAAGAATGATAAAACAACCCAAATATTTACTAAAGTGACTTACTCTATCTTAACCATTATTGCATCATTGCAGCTTCCATATGTGTTTTCAATTGTTCCTTGTTCCCAATTGTTGCTAAGAATGGGGGCGGGAGGTTGAAAATGTTAAGAATGATGTGATAGTTGGAAACAAGAGAATGGCTAAGAATGGAAATGGAGTTGAAAGGGTACAATGATGGTTTAAACATGTGGGTTGATTTAATAAAAAATTAATAAAAAAATTTTAATCTTATTTTTTACTATTACCTATTTTCATATTTAGAACATTCATATATAAAAGATAAAAAGATAAAAACTTATCATGGTCATTTTTAGTTTTATGTACTTTTTAAGGCACATGTTATTAATTATAAAATATAATATTCTTGAAAATATTTTTTAATTTATATTTACATTAATAATAATTTTTTATTTAAATAATTTTTTATTTTATCTAGTATATTTTATTCATTCTATGTATTGTTTCATAATTAGGTTATTTTTTAAAAAAAAAAATAATGGTTTGTAGTTTTTATCTTTATTATTTATTAAATCTCAATATTCTATATATATATTTTTAAAAATCTTAATGTAGTGATTTTTTAAATTTATATAAATTTTTATCTTTTATAATTTTATTTAATTATTTCAATTATTATACTTTCAATAAATATTCCAAATTCATTCTTAAATTTAAAAAATATTGTAAAAACATAGATATGTTGATATTTTTTGATTTTTATTTAAAAATATTTGCAATTAAAATTCTTTTCGTAATTATTGTTCTTAGCTCTTCAACAACTTTGGTGTCTTGTGTATTTAGAACAACTTTAGGTGCTTTTGATAAAAAATCTAAAATCAGTTGCTTAATCTCTTAGAGACTTAAATCAATTCTTTTTAAAATAACTCTTTGCAAGGAATTCCTATCTAAATTGATTTCATAGAATCAAATAAAATCTTATTGTATATTGTAAACATAACACTTTGATCTTAGTCTATTTTGTCTAAAATCCCTTAATTTCTTAACAAATTGCAAAGTTTAAATACTTGCTTTTATACTTTTTATGTGTTGAATACCTGTTTGTGGTGTTGGTTTTTAATAGTCTTGTATTACTTTAACTTTTTATCCTTTTTTTTCAATTTTTTTCTTTTGAAATTCCAACATATAGTGTTAAGGTCATTATTGAATTTTCAAAATATTTTCTGAACAAAAATTTAAAATTATATTAGAAGAAAGTTGTATAATTATACTTTATTTATTTGTTAAACCAATTTGTTATGTCATAATTTATTGATAGTAACAACATGTAATCTTAATTTAATGTCATCACTATGTTTTGTTATTTCTTTTGAATTCATTTAGAACCTAAATCATCTAGCAACCAAAAGTAGCCTAACTTCTAAATACTTTAGAAATATAGAATAATTTTATCTTTTTTTGAGTTATTTCAAAGCTCTATAGCTGCAAATTACTTTTGTATTAATTTGTAAAGGTTTAAATGTGAGTTTTAAAAACTAATAGTCAAAATAATACACTTGTACCAAACAATATGACTCCAACTTTATAATTTAATTTAAGATTTATTCTAATCTTCTATATGGCATTTATTCTTATTGAATGATATTTTTTATTGCCCCTTAACTTCATACAAATAATTTTACTTTGGAAGAAATTTGGTAGAAGCTGTAAAATATAGCTTATATACGTGCAACTTGACATGTTTGTTAGAAGAAAGACATATCTAGAAAAAACTTGCAAAGAAATAAAACTCAGAAATAAAATAAGTAAATAAAGAAAATCAATTATTAAATAGAATTTTAAGATACTATAGAACTATAATACTTGTTAATAAGTTTTAAAAGACTAAAAATTTCCAAAATAAGAATATATTAAAAATAATTAATTTTTATAATCAAAAAATAAATTTCCTCTTATTCTATTCATACTTCTTAATTAAAAAGACACAACAAAGCCTTTTAAAGACTAAAGACTTGTATGGCAAGTATTTAATTTGAAAATACTATTGTGGTAGTATTTTGGACCTAAAAATGCTATAAAAAAATCATTTTGGCTATATGACACATCTAAAGATATTTATAAATTAATTTTACTTTTACAAAACTATTATGTTTGTCTTCAGTTAAGATATTATTGACTAGATTAATTTTTTTATTTCTATCCATATAATATTATATTTTTTAAAAAATTCTTTGTCTATTTTTTAATTGATACGGCTTTAAATTAAAAAAATTAATGTACAAAATTAATATAATATAGATAATATATATTTAAAATAGTTTGATATATAAATATTTTTTATTTTTATTATAGAATTATAGAAATATAATAATTTTATTAAAATTTTAAATAAAATCATATTAAAAAATAATAATATTATAAAAGTAAAAATTTATTTCATTAAACTTATTAATTTTAAGTTTCAAATATCTATATTTAAAAGATAATATTTTAATTTTGTATCACAACACTTTCTAAAAACTATTTGCACGAAAACATTATAAAATACCAAACCTAACTAATTAAGTTGGCTTTTATAAATCTAACTACATAAAATTTTTAAATCTAAAATATTGAGTAAATATATATTAATTTACTATTTATATTTAATTATAATATTTTATATTTTTTGTAATGCTAACTTAAATAAAAAATATTATATTCATATTATTATTATTTTTTAACCTCTATTATATCTAAAAGTCATATTAAAATCAATTTGTTGAGGTTGCTAAGCAACAATACTAAATTCTATATAATCAATAATCTTTGATTACTTAATTTTGTAACCAAAACCAATTCTATTAATCTATCTACTATTTTTGCAAATATTACCAAAGAGATTTATCATTGTAATTCTAATAGTTATTAATTTCTTACAATTTCTTTGATAAATTACCTATTCTTAATCATATACATACATATATACATATCAAAATTTCTAGCAAGTGTGTGAAATTTTGATATGTATGTGTTGATGAAAAAAAGTGTGTGTAATTTTTTTCATCAACACACACTTTTTTTAATTTAGATACATATAGAAAAATATTGTAATGTGATATCTATTTCCTAATTTACATAGCACATTAATTTTCATACAAAAATATGTTAGAAGCCTTAATCAAGCTATACTGTTTCTTTTTGTGAATATATATAGGTTGATTGATTGATTGGGTTTACATAATATGCATCAAATAAATCCTTATCAATTGTCTAAAATAATAAGCACACTTTTTATGACGCTTATTAAAACTCTTCCATTTCTAATATATGCATAGTAATACTTCTTCAAACTCACCACTTTCATTCTTGCACTTCCTTCTTGTTTCGTTTTTTTTTTTTTTTTTACTAGCATCAAGTATTTCCTAAAAATCCAACCAATGTTACCACATATCTGGCTTGTAATTGCAACGAATTATAAATTTAAAGTATCCCTCCAACCTAAACTAGATACAAATATCAAAACCATAATCAAGAATTCTGCTCTTTTTTGTTGGAAAGATTTTATTTATTGCAATAGCATCATGAACATCGACATTTCTCAGAATACTCTCAGGAAATCTTAATTCTGAAAAATTATTTCTGTTTTCAGCTAGAATACAAAGCTCCATCACCAATTTCAGCTCTTCCTCGACATCCACCTTCAACAATGCCCACCATCACGGTCCATCAGATCGACAGGATCGACAGGATCCACAGGACCGACAATCAACTACAGCATACTCCGAGCAATTCTGCAGGTCAAGGTTATGTTCCTTTCAGCACTGGGCGCACGCATAAGACGCATTGCACATCACTTGGCTCTCTCCTGGACTTCTCCAGCCGGTGCATCCGGTGTAGAGAGATCACCAAATCACGGCCATCGTCTGATCCTCTCACCTGAGCTTCGAAAAGTGGCTGAATGGCCCGGTACACATTGAGAGCTTTATCCCCGTACAGAATCATCACCATGGCGGGATGTCAAGTGTTCTTCTCCGACTTTCCTGCAGGCCGCATCATCATCAGTCAGGCGTCTCCATGGGTCGAAATGCAAGCTTACGAGCAGCGATGGGACTTTGTCCTGCCTTACACCGCGAAAGGCTCAAGCACTTTTCCACAGTGGACGACGTGTTACGCAACTCGGAGCACTCCAAGTGCAAGCATCTCTACTCAGCGGAAGAAGCAGAGCATGTATGTTACGTGCCGAACCTGGAACAGCAACCAACAGCCTCGGCTAGCCATGATCGGGTCTACCAGAGGTGGAGAGACCGATACACCAGGCCCTGCGAAAGACCACAGAAGAGAAAGAGGCGGAGGACGTGATACCCACCTTTGGAGAACGGATTGGCAGTGGTGCAGAAAAAAAGCGAAGTCTGTCTTGCGCACAATGGGTAACGAGTGGGTGAAACGTGATTGAATAAGCCGGACAGCCGGGTCGGGTTTAAGAGGTCGTGTACAGTGCCATCCGGAACGGACGCGAGAAACGACCCCGCAAGACTGGATACTCGTCTCGAAGGCTTCATCCTGGTGAGCAGCAGATGAGCAACCAGGGTGAGAATGTGGGTGTGTCGTGCTCATTGTCAGATCGTTGCGGCGTGAGCTTCCAGGTCGACTGGTCAATGCGATGGTGCACAAGATGCGATGACGCTGCCCCACCGATCCGACAAGGGCAGCCGTTTTAATACGTGAAGCTTCAGAACGTGATTCCTCCGTGTACGAAACCATCTCAGGATCTTGCATGTTTTGACCAAATTCTTCAGTTCATGTGTTCACTAAAGTCTTCAACTTTTGTTGTTTTACCATGCAAAAATTCTAAAGTTGTGTGTAAATTGACATTGTGCATGGAGTAAAAATGTTTTGGATACATATAAAAAGTTATCAAAGGTATAGGACGTTATCAAATATCAAATTAAACATTTGACAACAAATTAGTTTTGGTGTAAAACAATTAAATATCACCTTTTGGTTAATTTATTGTCTATTTTTTATATGGTTGGATTTCTTCTTGTTAAAGTTGATGTTAATTTTGAGATTCATAAAATATTTAAAGGTTTTATATTAAATAGCAATAATCTATAATCATTGATTATAGTCATTATTTAAATGTAATAACTTTAAGCAATTAGAATAAAGAGGTGGTCAAAGTGTTAAGTACATAAAGAACTAAAAGGTCAATATATTTTTGGTTGTCAAGGATATGAATCTCAATGAACCAAATAGTTAATACACTCTTGTGTCACTTAAAAAGAATAAATAATCACTAAAAGATGATATAATATTGAACTAGAATGGCTATTGTCAAAGTCAAGAAAACTAAAATCTCTTGAAATAAGATTAGGAATAAGAAAGAAATTCACAAGAGTGAAGAAGGCTTCGTTCTTGCCTCCATATATACTACTCAAGTAGAAGCTACATGACAATATTTCATAGGACCCCTAACACATGCCTAACTTGCAAAATATGTGTCTAACTTATACCACAAGTTATCAACATGTACAACAAATATCCAACTTGTTGGCCAAATTTCTAACCTACCAATTAAGTACAAATACATCTAAAGTCAAATTTGCATTAATGAAGCTTCTATAATGCTTTTCTACAAGATATTATCAAATCTATCTTCATTTATTTTTTATCTAACACTTTGTAACTAGGTAATTATATATTTTTATAATTTTACCTCTTTTTTCCAAGAAGAAGTTTTACAAGGAATAATGATTATATGTTGAAAAAGTCCAAGATGCAACAAATTTTATTTACTACATACTTTGATATTTATTTTCTCAAAAAATAGTTAATATGTCCGGTCTACTATTGATACTTTTTTACACTAGAACATGAAGACCATCCTAATATTTGATCATAGTTGAGGTCTTTGTAACTTCTTTCAAATCAAATATTTAAAAAACCATCAAAAGTGGTTCCCACTGCCAATAATATAACCAAACATTGAGAATCTCTTCTAAGGTTGTCATACTAAATACATTGAATTTCATCATCCATTTAAAAAATAATATGTTATTTTTGATGATTTTTATTTCTATTACATCATCCTAAAGATTGTAACAATTTTAATGCATCATTTAATAATTCAAAAAAAATAAAAATAAATAAATAAATAAATCTTGAATTGAATAAGCTGGTTGTTGATTCTTTATCTCTTTTAGCACCAAAAAATATACAAAAATAACAAATAAAGATTGAGGATAAAATACAATCTCTATTGAACTTTATTTCTTTTATAGAAATACTTGCTTGACTTTTCATCTTGATTTTGATGGATATTATTGATGAAAAGTATCAACTTTCTTTTATGTATTTGCAAGATTTGTAGATGGTTTTCATGTGCACCAATGTACCGAATATTCTTACCTATTATGACATTGCATAGAGCCTAGGACTTCTCCAATTTCAAAATCTTAATTATTATCCATTTCTATTTTTTTTTAAATGGCATTTGTCTTCTTCTTAGTATATCTATTGTCTTGTATGATTTGAAAAGAAACATATAGAATATGCAATGGATCTTTATATATCTTGGTAAATATAATTAATAACCAATTGGATTGATTTATTTTTAAATAAAAAATGATCCAAGTTTATGATAATCCAACTTGTCACATATTCTTGAGTTTCTTTTAATTGTCTCTTCATTATTACATGTAGTTTTAATAAATAATTTGTCAAATCTTTTGCCACTAGATTATCAACTTTTGAAAAGTCAAAAATATCAAGTTGTAGATGATAACAAAAATTTGCATAGAAATGTATTTCTTGAGTTGAAGAATGTATTATATTATTATAAGCAAAAATTACAAATAAAATATATATATATATATATATATAATTTTATTAATACATCTCAAATCCTATTTTAAAACTAGATTTATCTATTTTTTTATCTATTAAATTAAAAATACAAAGACAAAGATAATTTTATGTCTGTTTTTAAAATCTTAAAAATGATTCCTTAAAACTTGGATATAAATTTGATTCTTCTATCTAATAAAGTATTTTTTGGAAATTCATAATAATAATAAATATTATTAAAAAAAATATTATTTTTTTTAGCTTTAATAGATTTTGTAGTTAATAAAAAATATTCTATCTTAGTGAAATAATCTACTTTCACAAATATAGAATCTTAAAAATTGGATATTAAAAGATCTATGATAAAACCCATAAAAATAAAAGACTATGATTATTTAGGTATATGTAATGGTTGAAGTAGTCTATAATTTCAAGAATGAGGAGTTTTTGTCCTTGAATAAACATCATATGATTACACAAAGTTTTAACTACATTTTACATTTGAAGCTACTAAAGTTTTGTTATATCCAAAATTTCCTATAGCTAGAAAGTTGTGATGAATTTAAAGAGCATGTAATTATACTTCATGTTTTAGAATATATAATCATTCTTTGAAATAAAATAGATTATTTTTAAAGCCAATTTTTGAAGTATTATAAAATTTAGATAGATTGTTTTTAATATCATGAATAAGAAAGTCTATGGACATACTTGATTGAACTTATTTAAAAACAATTAAATCAATAATTATTGTTGATTTCGTTATGAAAAGATAAAAGTACTCTAGCTTTAATAAAATTATTTGAAGTTATGCAAAAGATGTATTTTTTTTCTTTTGGTGTAAGATAAAAACTTATAGAAAAGTTGTTTGATAAATCTTATTATTTTTATGGTCGATAAATGATATTGAATTAAAATCTTGATAAAGACATACTCTAAAGGATTTGTTGATAATTTCATATACATGTTGACATGGAATACTTGAGATTCTTCCCAAATGTATACATGGTGATTGCACTTGAAGCGCCTTTCAAATAATAAAGCTATTCTTGAAATGAATTTATAATTATAAGAAACTCTTTGTTGTAGATCTTATAATTAATCTTGACTATTGACATTTTTTTCAAATAAAAATCTAATAAATGAATTTTGTTATTTGCTCCCATTTTTAATAATATTGCATTCAAAATAAAGTTCAATATGTCTATTTCTATAAAAAGTTCTTTAAAAAGTCAATACAATGTAAGATTGATATAAAAGTAAAAGTTATCTTCAAAACTTCAAGTAATGCTTTAGTTTTTTTATTCCCCTCAAGTTTGTCTTTATAAATCAAAAAGTGGAAGTGAAGCTATAACTTAAAAGAAAATCTTCATCAAGATTTTGATAGTAATTGTCAAATTATAAAAAATATTGGATATCTTTTAATATTTTTGGAATTTTTCAATCTATACTAATTTGAATTTTTTTCAAATCCATCAAAAGACAATCATTTGAAATGGTGTATCATAAAAATTCAACTTAAGTTGTGTAAAATATATACTTTTTTTTATCTTTTTGTATAGTCTTACATCTTTAAGTTTTTGTAATATAATTTTATGAACACAAATATTATGTTCTTCTATATTTTTAGAATAAATTAAAATATTACATAAATAATAAATAACAAAATCATCTAGAATTTTTTTCTAAAATATCATTCAAAAGATGTCAAAAAGTACCTAAAGTATTTAATATTTCAAAAGATATAAAATTATATTTAAAATATCAATATTTGATTCAAAATACAATCTTTAATTCATTTTCTTCTTTAATACATACCATTTTATATGCTCATTGTAATTTGTTTTGGTCCAAATCTTTATTTGATTTAATTGATTAAAAAGTCTTGAAATCAAAGATAGAGGATACTTATTCTTTATGGTGATTTTATTAAGTCTTTAATAATCTCTACATATCCATAGTGTTTTTTCTTTTTTCTTTTTCTTTTTTTCTTTTTTTAATTAATAAGATAGAAGCTCTAATTAAAAATTTAGCTTAAAGTCTACCATTAGAAATAGATGTGTCATAAATAGCAAAAGATGATTTTTTTTTTATTGCATGTATAAATTCTTTTGAATCTACTAATAAGAATTTAAATGTATTAGAACTATGATTTTTTTACAAAGATTTGGATTAAACTATGAAAAAAAATAAGATTATGAAAAATCTAATCAATTCAAGGTTTATAATTCTTTAGCCATGATAATTCTAAAATAACTAGATTAAAAGAACATCTAATTATATTAAATATTACTAAGCTATTATATCAATTAGTTGCTACATCTAAAGAAATAATTTTGTGGTTAACATCTTTAAAAGATAACAAATAACCATTTATGACTTCTAAATGAAAATTAAATATGGAATATCTAAAGAAAGAATAGAACCTTTACAAGGTGTTGCATAAGATTTCAAATGCATAGTTCTTATTATAATTGAAGAAACTTATTTTCCAATATATTGTCTTCTTTTGCAACCATGCACCTTATTTTGTAATTGCATTATCTCTTTGGATAATGTTGAGTAGTATACTTAGGTTCTCCTTAGTATAAGTGCAATCCTTCCTAATAATATCAAGTCTTTTTTTTACTAAGTGAGAGATTTAAAACATATCATTATCATATTCTATGCAGTCTTGCTTGAAAATGTAGAAGGCTTTTGATAGTGGAAGATAAATAAAAAAATTGGAATAATAAGGTCCTAAAAATTCTAATGAAATCATAAATAAGTTCAAATTAAACCTTAAAAAACTTAATCAAAATCTTAATTAAATCCAAAAAATTATAAAAAATAATATAAATAAATATAAATAAATAATTAAAAAATATTTTAAAATAATTCTAAAAAAAATAAGAAATAATTTTCCAAGAAATAATAAAAAATATTAAAATAAAACCTTAAAATGTAATAGAAATAATTTTAAAAATAAAGTCTAAATAAATCTTAAATAAATTTAAAGAAATCTTAAATACATCTTGATACCATTTTAATAAAAATCCAATAAAAACTCTAAAAAAACCTTGATTAAATTTTAATAAAATGCTAATAAAATCCTAAATTTTAAATTAAATCCTAATAATATCCTAAATCCTAAATAAAATCCTAATAATATCTTAAATTTTAAATAAATATTTAATTAATTCCACAAAAAATGAAAATTTTAATAAATAATAATTTAATTTTAAATTTTTACTCAATATGTCGTAATTACTTAGTTGACAATAAGTACAAATTATCTGAAAAAGATCAAATTTTCCAAATAGAAGATAAACCTCATAATTTCCTTGCATATTACTTGGCATCCTTCTCCAACCTTAATACCAATCTGTCAATGCCAATATTTCTTAATATCACCATTTAATGGCTCTTAAACCTTGCACAATTGTTAAAAATAAAGTGAACTATTATTGTGCAAAATTATATCTTAATCCAATTAGTAGGTTGTTGCAAATTTTAGAAGTCATTATTGGTTTTTTAAACTCTAATTTTTGACACCTTAAAACTTTTGAAATTTAATGATCTTTATATGAATCATTTGATCAAGCTTAAACTTATTACACACATTTAAAACAGCCATAATTATATAATTACAAATTTTGTTTGTAGATTTTTTTATCATTCACAAAAAATTCTCCAAAGTATAAACTCTTTATATTTTTTAAAAATCAAAAGTCACTCCAAAACAATCCTAACTTGGCAAAACCTTTACAAATTTATTATAGACTTAAATCACCTCAAATAAATGCCCAAAGATTTTTTCTCTAATTTTCTTTAAGATCCCACTCTCTAATCTATAAAACAATCCTGGAATTATTGTAGGTGTGCAGTTTTGTGCCTTGAGATTCGATTTCGACTCTCATTCATAACTTGTCCTCTCCAAGTATCAATTATTGGTTTCTTAAAGTAATTTTTATTATAATTTAATTTTAACTCTCTTCTAAAGATGTCCATATCATTTAATTTTCTAATCTACTTTTTTTTACTATATTTATGGTCATACAAAGTATGTAGAAGTCTTTTTTTATAAAAAGGTAGTATTAATATTAATTATTTTATAAACTTTCTATTTTTATCCATATTTTGCTACAACATCTTTTAACTAGATCATTATTTAATAAAATCTATATTTTTATCTTTTATCATATAATTGTTTTACAATACAACACCATGTCAATCTACATAGGTTTTGACCTTGATTCTATGATTTATACTTCTACTTATAATTCTATTGATCTAATTGATTAATAAGAAGTTGTAGAGTAAAATATTTTTCTTCTTAAGTACAATGAGATATAAGTGATGTATAGAATTTAAACATCTATTTTCAAGAGATTACTGCCAAAGTGGTTAGAAAAAACTTTAAATCTTATTTATTTTGCCTTGCTTAGGTAGATTTGATCGACAATCAACAAACATTGTATCAAGTCTATTCTTGCCTCTTTAAATGAATTTTTTTGATCTTCTTTAGAAATTAGAGGACAATGCTTCTAGCAGTTGTAAAATAAGTAATAAGTAAAATAATAATAATAATAATAATAATAATATCTTATTGACTATTACAAACAACCAATCTACAATAAATTTAATTTTTTAATAATGAAATTATAAAGATTTTTCAAGAATAAAACAAATTTTAGAAATTAAATTATATATAAAAAATTAATTTATAAATTATAATTATAAAAGGTAAAAAAATTGATGGAAAGTAATTATAGTATTAATGGAGATAAATAAATTCTATTCAAACTTAATCTTTATCTTATGTATAATATGTTTGTGAATTCTTATATAAACAATGCAAAACCTTACAAAGGACTATGTCTTTAGTATTTCAACTATAAATGTGTCTTTACTAAACTTTCTAAATTTCAATAGCTCCTTATTGTGATTCAATCTTAAACTTTTTGGTGTTGGTGCAAATGCTGCCATCAGCATTCAAGCACCAACATCACAATTGTTTGTATTATTGCAATGCCTTATTCTTTAGTACCAACAACTTCTATTTACACAACATCTATGATACTAGCTTGCTTTTTCTAAGGTCTTCTTTACAAAAATTTAAAGTGTGTTTAAAATTTGTCTTTTCTTTTCTTTTCTTTTCTTTTCGTTTTTGTATATAAATCTTTAGAATTTTATTTTTAAAATATTTTTATTATCATTACTTTAAAAAAAATCTGCTTTATATTATGATTTTTATTTTTCATTATTTTTATAAAAAAGAATCATTAGTTCAAAATTATATGTATTTCAATAATTATTTAATTTTTATGATTAAGAATGAATATATATTAATTTATTCAAATAAATACATGGTTTTTTCTTATATCTATCATTTTGATTTTATATCTATTTTCTCTGATTACATCATGGATAGATGCAACATTTTTTTTGTGTGTCCAAAATCCTTTCTAGAGTCTGATTAGATAAAATAACTTGATATCTATCGAAACATCTCTAAGATCCTCAAATGCATCTTTAATTGTGGCTGTTATAACTTCTGGTATATCTTGGGAATGTGTGGATAGTTTTTTAGCTAAATGCAAACAAACAAAAATAAGTAAAATAAAAACTGAGCATTCCCAACACTGTGCACAAATATAATTGCACATCACAACAGACCAATAAATTGAACAAAACGATAGGAATAGAAAGGAGGACCAACAGAGCTCGATGACAAGCATCTTGGGACCGACGCCGACTTACCAGCGCTGAAGTGGCCCTCCCACACAGGCGGGATTAGTCGGATCACTCAGAATCGTGGATGCGTCCCAGGAATCTGTCGGCGCTGTCCGTCCATCACACTGCCCCACACAGTCATTCACCAACACAGAGTGCCGGAACTTGCAGGCTGCAGGACCCTGAGTCAATGATGGCATACTGTGGTCTACAGAGGAACCACATTGTGAAGCTTCGTGCATTACGGCCGACGCCCTTGCACCATCCATGGGGCAGTGTCCTCCCATCTCATCCAACTTCGCTGGCTCAACTGTATTGACTAGTCGAACTGGAAGCTCGCTCCACAACGATCTGACAATGAGCACGACACACCCACATTCTCACCCTGGTTGCTCATCTGCTGCTCACCAGGATGAAGCCTTCGAGACGAGTATCCAGTCTTGCGGGGTCGTTTCTCGCGTCCGTTCCGGATGGCACTGTACACGACCTCTTAAACCCGACCCGGCTGTCCGGCTTATTCAATCACGTTTCACCCACTCGTTACCCATTGTGCGCAAGACAGACTTCGCTTTTTTTCTGCACCACTGCCAATCCGTTCTCCAAAGGTGGGTATCACGTCCTCCGCCTCTTTCTCTTCTGTGGTCTTTCGCAGGGCCTGGTGTATCGGTCTCTCCACCTCTGGTAGACCCGATCATGGCTAGCCGAGGCTGTTGGTTGCTGTTCCAGGTTCGGCACGTAACATACATGCTCTGCTTCTTCCGCTGAGTAGAGATGCTTGCACTTGGAGTGCTCCGAGTTGCGTAACACGTCGTCCACTGTGGAAAAGTGCTTGAGCCTTTCGCGGTGTAAGGCAGGACAAAGTCCCATCGCTGCTCGTAAGCTTGCATTTCGACCCATGGAGACGCCTGACTGATGATGATGCGGCCTGCAGGAAAGTCGGAGAAGAACACTTGACATCCCGCCATGGTGATGATTCTGTACGGGGATAAAGCTCTCAATGTGTACCGGGCCATTCAGCCACTTTTCGAAGCTCAGGTGAGAGGATCAGACGATGGCCGTGATTTGGTGATCTCTCTACACCGGATGCACCGGCTGGAGAAGTCCAGGAGAGAGCCAAGTGATGTGCAATGCGTCTTATGCGTGCGCCCAGTGCTGAAAGGAACATAACCTTGACCTGCAGAATTGCTCGGAGTATGCTGTAGTTGATTGTCGGTCCTGTGGATCCTGTCGATCCTGTCGATCTGATGGACCGTGATGGTGGGCATTGTTGAAGGTGGATGTCGAGGAAGAGTTGAAATTGGTGACGGTGAGCCTGAAGGCTGGCCAATTCCGTCTTCCCAGCTACAAGGCGAAACAGGTAACCAAAACGTTCCTGGGCTGGACTGTCGGCTGAGGCAGCAGAAATTGGGGTTTGGATTCAAAGACGCTCGTGGTGGTTGCAATCAACTGGTTGTTCGATTTTCGGTACTAGTGTTGGCACAAAATTGACCCTTGAAAGTGTGCGCGTGTGTGTGTGTGTTGTGGCTGTAGCCCTTCGGATTGATTCCATTCTTGGAGGATGGCGACTTCACAGTTTTCGGTAAGCCAACTTCAACTGCTGTGTTAGGGAGCAGCCTAAGGCACTCCATAGTTCCTGCCCAGCATGCAATGCCAGCGGGGTGGGTTGCTTGTGTGCGTGGTCTTGCGTGGAAGTGAGATGTGCAGAGCTGATGTGTGGACCGTTGGTGGAAATGGTAGAGTCTCGAGCCATAGCCAGATACCTAGCTGAGAAGTACGAGGGCCAAAATACGCCGCTTCTGGGCAAGACGCTGAAGGAGAGAGCGACCATCAACCAGTGGGCGGAGAGTGAGGCCCAGAACTTCCATCCTGCCATAGCACCCATGGTGCGAGAACTATTTCTGGCACCATTCGAGAAGCGGCCAGTAAACGAGGAGGTGATGGAGACGGGAATGAATAAGCTAGACAAGGTGTTGGATGTGTACGAGGTGCACCTAGCGAAGGGCACCAAGTATATGGCTGGGGACAACTTCTCCATGGCCGACCTGTTTCACACCGTGTACATGAACTGGATGAAGTCGAGGTGGCCGCAGCTGCTGGAGAAGCGACCCCACCTGTCGGCTTGGATCCACGACATCACCACTCGCCCTGCATTCCTTCGATGCTTGCAACTTGATTGGGAAAACGCCTCCCCAATTGAGTGACACATTGTCTCTTGTGCACCACTCCAGAGGCTCTGCATGGTCCTCGGTTTGCCTTGGAAGGACTTTGATGCCGCAGAATGAAGTGGTTGGAGTGGAGGAGTGAAGCTGACGAACCCAATGTGGTCGTAGCATCAACCCATGCCAGGATAATGTTCTTTCTTGTTGTTGTCTTAGGAAAATCAAACTTTTTGCACAGCTCAGGACAAAGTACCGAAAATGGTGTACACTTCAAGAAAATCTACTTCCAAGCATCATCTACTAGAGAATAAGGTATAGTTTTATGGGGACAACAAATCCGGCCTGTATTTTGGTATCAAATTACTGATGATTCTAAAAAGCATGAAAATAGTTTCCAATGGAAAAAGTCTTCCTTTGACATAAAAGCTGATAGTTATTTTTACATTCACATAAAATATCTATAAATTATAGTATTAGTTTTTGTTTGAAGTTAGTGAAGTGAATTATGGATAAAATTTGAGGACAGCTATTTATTTTTAAACAATAGGATTCAAAAATCTTTGATACAAGAATTTTAAGACCTGATATTATTGATAATTTTTATAAAATTACCAGTTTTGGTATTCAACTGAATGAAGAAGATTCTTGAAGAAAAATTTGATATTCAAATTAATAGCTCAATTAAATGTAAAACTGAAAAAAAAAGAAATTATGAATAAGATTTAATTAAATTCTTTTAAAGTAGAATATATAATTATAAACTAATATCGGTTTTTTATGCATATTATTAGACTAAATAAAATTGGTTTGGTTTTTAAGAAATTTTCACAACAAATATATATATATATATCACTAGAACTATTATACCTGAGATTGATTAATATTTCTAATTAATTTAGAGATAAACTAGATGTTTTCAACAAAACTGATTGATTATTTAAATAATAATAAAATTCTTCTCTCACACAATTCCATTTTTTATTATGTATAAAATCTACATTTAAGTTTGTATTATTCTTTTAGAAAAAAACATAATTTACTAATATTTAAACTATGAAAAAATAAAATAATTTCTATTAGTATAAATCTATATATGAATATATTTTATTAATTTAATTTAATTAGTTTGCAATTTATAATTGTTCATACTTCTAAAAAAGATAGCTTAAAGTTTCTAATTAATTTTTAGTTACAGCAAGCAACAACAATATTTTTTCTTGGTTTTTTTATTTAGAATATATACATATATATATATATAGAGAGAGAGAGAGGGAGAGAGAGAGAGAATTTGTAGCTCATTTTAAAAATATAAACCAAAAAGAGTAGAAATAACAAGGTTCTTATTAATATGTTTTGATATAACATAAAAAAACAATATCAAAAAGTCTATTAAGAATATTATTCAAAACAAATTCACTAGATTAAATGTATTACTAAAATAATACTATGCAAGAGACAATTCTTCAAAAGACAGCAGGAGCTAAGATTTTATTAAAAAATATATAAATCAAGTACTAAAATTAACTTCTAAGAGTTAATAAGTTGTGTATCAAGGAATGTACTTATTCAAATATTTATAACTTAATTCAAGTATTTAACACTCATAGAATAAAATAGATGTTAATAGATGTCAATGTAAAATTTTATGTTCACAATGTAAAAAATTAAGTCATAAAATATAAGATTGTTAAGCTTCAAGCTTTATTTTCAACAATTCCAATTGACACTCATTTTTCATGATGAATTTTGTTCAAATATATTTTTAGACATTGTTTTAATTAATTTTAAGAATAATCTTTTATAATAACTATTGGAACTTTGATTTTAAAGACAATCTTCTTTATTATAAAGAGTGATTACATATACTAAAAGACTAAGTATAACTATGTATATTTTTAAGTATGATATGACTTTCCAACAACAAGACAATTTAGAGCTTGTTTCAAGATATTTTTGTCACATCAGATGTAGGATTTTGTTACAAAATTTATTCAATCTTACAACACTTGTTTTTAAGGCAAGACTCCAGTACATCAATTTTAGGCTTTTTAAAAGTTTATATATTCTAATTTAATCTTAATCAAATATTTCAATAATTTTTATTTTAAAAATAAATTATGATATCAAATTTTTACGAGTAATTGTTTTGATAGTAGATTACCAAATTAGAATGGCATATTTTGTGACTAATATAAAAATCATTTCTTGTAAAGAAACAACAAAAAAATTGTTTTGATATTATGTATTGATGTCATTGATTTTTAAGTCATATTACATCTAATGGAGGGCCTTTTTTTGTATTAAAGTTTTAGAAGATGTTTTTCAATATATTGAAGGTTAATATCATTGTATCTTAAACTTTTTATTTTTAAATTAATTAAAAAATTGAATGTGTAAATTGAGTAATAGAGGAGTATTTTTAAAGTGCCATTAATTTTTTCTACAACAATTGAACAACTTTCTCGCTATTAGAGAAATTTCCATATAATAATATGGTACATTTTTTTATTTAATAAATTTTATAGATTTGCTACTTATATTTTCATTCAAAATTTGATATTCTTGACTTTTTAAAAGTTAAAATTCAATAATAGAGGATTTGGCATATAAAAAAACAAAGCTTTATGCAATAATAAAGTTACAACTAAAAGTAACTTAAGAGTGACAAAAAATCAAATGCAATTTTAAAATAAAAAATAACAACATCTATTTAAAGTTGGTAATAAGATTTGATTCATCTTATATTCTTTGTGTTTCATATTGAGACTTATACTAAAAATATTATATTAAAAAGAAAGTAGTTATGACCAATTCTTATAAGAATAGATGATAATTAAGAGATTGAAGTAGGAAAAAACTTGGATTTAAAGGAACTTCAAAATAAATTAAAATATTTTTTACATTGGTACAAATATGATATTATTGTATGCAAGTGAGATTCATCTAAAAATCTTGCAAGAATATTAGAACTTATTATTTTGTTTTTCATTTATAACACCTACTAAAACTAAGAACTCGTTATTTAAAAAAAAAAAAAAAAAAAAAAAAAAAAATTTATATCTAAAGGAGAAAAAGTTTAAAACTCATGTCTTAGAATTTATTTGCTATATAGAGAATTAACAGCCAATAAATTCATCTTAAAAAGCATCATTTGCAAAATTGTCATATAAACCTCTTTGGATGTTTCAACCTTCACAACATTAGAATTAAAATAAAGATTCTTAAGAAAGACATATCACTTTCTGAATAGATGGCAAGATATAATATGTACGGTACTATAATTCTAGAAAATATTTATATTGCTTGATTATACTATTGGAAGTAGATATTATACTTAATGAATTTCAAAATGTGTTGTCTAAAGTTAATTATAAATACATTAACAATAATTTAATGATTGTTTGGTTTCATTGACTTAATATGAGATATTATTCACAACATAAAGAACTTGTCAATTATCCTTATGTAAAATTTAGCCCAAATTGTGTTGCTAATATCATTCAAAAAATTATAGGTTTTATGAATTTCTGAAATAACTTGATTACGTCTTGTAGAACTTGTATCCAAAAGAGACATATGTCAATATTTCATAAAATAAAATAAAATAAATAGAAGTAAAAAGGTATGTTACATAGATAGTATCTTTTTAAAGAAACTTTAAAAAAAATCTTTATATATAGATTATATCTTTATATTCCTATAGATGCAGCTATTAAAATATATCCTTCTAGTTTTTTACTTTTCAAAAGGTATATTAGAAACAATCTATAACTTGATGTTTGTTATTTTTTCAAAGTTTTTATAAGGCCTTTCTCATAGTTAGTAATTATAGAGGTAATATTAAAACTATTCTTAATCGTATAAATACCTTTTTTGTATTTCTATCTTAATTTCAAGACTCTCTAGCTTTATTATATTTCATAATACTAATTCTAGTTCTTTTTTATTTTAAATTTATATCTTCTTTATTAACTTTCTATCTTTTAAGTAACATTTGAATGTATTGTTTTCCAAAGTTTTTTCTAGAGACATATCCTTGATATTTATTGTGCTATATCTAAATTATTTTGATGTTATATATTTATAATATATATATATATATATATATATATATTCAATTAAAAATAATTTTTTAGATTTAAAAACTAAAACTAAAATTTAGATTGCAAAAACATCAATTAAGAATTAATAGAATTTTAATCTTTAATGAATCATTTTTTAATTATATAAAAAATAAAAATAAACATATGAAAAAATACAATGCAAGTTTTAAACTTTTTACAAATTAATCAATTTGCATAAAAAATTCATAAAATATAGAAAACAATTATCCATAAAAATGTATAGCCATAGCATTGTATATAAATACAGCACTTTCTTTTATAAACATAGAATAAGTACAAACACGTGTTCAAAATAATTTATCATCTTTCTAAGATGCAAAATCTTCTTCAGTTTATAATAGAATTAAGAACTAATCTCTAGTATATATATATATATATATATATAACTTATGTTATTTTATTTTTCAACATATATACCATCACTGTGTAATATTAGGAACAAACAATGATACCAAACTTAAATATGAATGCTAAAGAAGAGAACTTTGGAAAATTTTAAAAGGTACACTTCATATGAAATGAGAAGAATGTTGATGTTTTTAAGAAAGAAACATAATAAAAAAACCAAAATATAAAATGATCTATAATTTTTTGGAGTCAAGTTATTTCATAAATTAGTAAATGGTCAAGTTATTATCATCAATATAATTTTGATTAATAAATATTATTATTAAACCAACCATAAGTTATATTAGAACCAATTTTTAAAATTTCGATTTATTTATATTTCGACACATGTAGATTTTTTCAAATACATGTGATTATAAAAACGATTTACACTTAGTGGGTATTATCATGTCTTTGATATTTTAATTGATATATGAGTAACTGATGTATCATATTAGTTCACAAAAATTTCAAAAGTCAAGAACAAATCCTAATGTCAGAAGAAATATAACATGATGCTTATGACATGTTTATCTTATCCTTATCTTTTCCTTATCTTTTTCTTTTAAACTCCATCAATCAATGTTCAACACATTTTGTTGTAATAAATCTGGTTTAAATCATTTAAACTCTACATTCAAATACTTAAAATGTCAACAAAAAACTCTATAAAATGGTTGCCCGAAACATTTTTATTTATTTTTTATTTTTTTTTACTGACACTACTAAATCTACTCTTTAAAAAAAGCTCTGAATTCAGTTTAGTGATTAGTAAATCTAGTAACGACATAAGCTCAAGAAAAAATTCACGAAAATTAAGACGTGATTGGTAAAATGGTAAAATGCCAACTCGGCCAATTTGTTTAGGCAACCAAACAGAGCACGCCACGTGGCGGTGATAATTAGGGGGTCAGGGGAAGCGGCGGGGGTGGGAAGCGTGAGTTAGAGAACTGACAAATGGGACTCAAACTCACTAGCGTTCAAAACGAATCAACTCCTGCGAAGCGACGCCTACTTTGAAGAAAAGGAGGTTGACGTTCAGGACAAGCAATGACCACCCACCCCTCGCTCCAAACCTCCCCACCCACCCCTTCGCCCGCTTCGTCCTCGTCTCGAGCCTGAGTCGAACCGGTGAAACCCCCTCCCCCACACCAAAACCCGTCGAGCCGAACCTGATGCCCGTCCTTGTCGTCTCTCTCCCGTTCCTCGCCCCTCTTTCTCTCGTTTGTTTATCGAGCCATTCCCTCAGTCTTCTGCATTCTATCGCTCTTGCCGTGCTCGTCGTCGCTCTACCCGATAGCCTTCATCGCATCGTATGCTTGACAGAGAGCACTGAAGTTGTAACGCCGTGTGCATATCGTGCGACTCGATTTCGTGGAATTTGCTGCGGTAGGCGGTTCGCGGGAGGTTGTTCGTTGAGTTTTGTCGGTTTCGTCGGGGAGGGATCTTAGTGGTTTGGTTGCAGCGGTTTCTGCTTCTCGTGTTGGAAAAGTTCAATTCTGCACGATTTTTGAGGCGGCGTGGCTTGGGAGAGAGAGAGGTGTTTCATTTGGTTTGGGATTTTTGCCGGAGAAAGGTTAAGGAGGGACGAACAAGTTGTAGGGTTTGGTGTGTAGGTGGGTTTTGCGTGTTTCGGGTTTTGAATTTTCATCTCATCGTTGTTTCTGTTCTTGTGGATGTCAGGTGAAGGAGGATTGTCTCGTCGGAGGAAGTTTTAAGGTGTATCATCGCATTCTACGTGACCATGGCGAAGAACTCTTTCAAGCAAGAGCATCCGCTGGGTATGGTTGTGTTTTTCCTGAAGAAGTTTCTTTTGGGGGATCGTGGCCATGTGATTATGATCATTATGTCATCCGTTTGTATGCATTTTACTTCAGATCTCTCATAATGTGTGGCTTCTTTAATGGAGAAACATAACTTTTAAACTTTGCACTGTTGTGATCTAGTAAATTGAGAACATGCAACACTGATTTACAATGATGCGTTGGAAACTTTTCAAGATAATTAGCTACAACATCCCGTAATCAGTATGGTCTTCACAAGAGTGTCTCATCTGATTTCTTCAGGGCTACATCTTGAGATACCTATTTGTCTTGTTATTCATTGTGTCAGTTCGTCCTTGTTCTTTGCGTTCGAAGACATGTCGTGGTCGCGACCTAGTGAGTTAATATGATGGCCTCTATGATTGATGAAAATACTCGAAGTGCAAGTTTGGATATAAACATAGAATTCGAAGGTCCCCAGAGTAATCTTTTTTACGTCTTGTATTTTCTGACAGTTTGTTTTGTGATTCTGGCCAATTAGAGAAGAGGCAGGCAGAGGCTGCAAGAATTCGTGACAAGTATCCCGACAGAATCCCAGTGATTGTGGAGAAGGCGGAGAAAAGCGACATACCAGACATTGATAAGAAAAAGTAGGTTTTTACCACTCTTTTTTGTGTGTGTGTGCGTGTGTGTGTTTTTTCATAGTTGGAGGGCACTTGGTCACCTTCGGGTATTAGTTTTGGTATGGTTATTTATCATTCTGACGGTACATTTTTGTCATGTGATCTGAAGTTGGGCACATGTAGCATAGATATTGAAAGTGATGAATGAATGTGTTTGCAGGTACCTGGTACCAGCGGACTTGACGGTTGGACAGTTCGTATATGTGATAAGGAAGCGCATCAAATTGAGTTCCGAAAAGGCCATTTTCATCTTCGTGAAGAATGTGCTACCTCCGACAGGTACGTTAGTTGAATATGCGTGCAAGTGAATGGAGTAGTGGTGGCTTGTGTGTTAGATTTTGGATGGAAGTAATTGTGATTGAAACCTTGTGGTCGTATGCATGGCACTGCGTAGATGTGGTTGTGTCTGTGCACTGCAGATCTGAGAAGTTAGTGTAGTGAATGGATTGGATGGGATGTGAATGCAGCGGCTATGATGTCATCTATCTATGACGAGCACAAGGACGAAGACGGGTTCCTTTATTTTACCTACAGCGGTGAGAACACGTTCGGGCTATCGAGGATCTGCTAGCAGGAATGGATGGTTGGAGGTTGAATGGACGTGCATAATTCATGCGTAATTGTAGGCTTGGTTAAGTAGCCGAAGGCTGTGTGTGTTATGGACCGCCCACTGTACGTAAGAAATGGCTAGAATTGTGGTCGGCTCATGCACCTGCTTCATTGAACCATCCCTGATACATCGTTTTGGGGAATTGTTAAGACGAAGCTTGTTTTTAAAAGATAACCCTTAATGTGTTAAATGTACAGCAGGGGATAGGAATCGGGCAAGTGTACATAGAACCTTGTACGAAGTTTGTATCTGGCATATAGATGATGAACATGTAATGTGCACATTGTGCCACTATTTGTGGCTAGACTACATTAAATAAGTGACATGTTTTATCATTTGATGATTTTAAGACAAGGAATGAATGTGATATTGAGATGCCATGTTGAGATGCTATCTTGTTCACAATGTGCCTGGGAGCTCTTGATATGATGCATATAGCCATGGCAGCTAGGGTTGGTTGAAATCCGGAGAGTTGTGTGTTTGATAGGTTTGCTCGAGTGTAATGTAGTGTGGGAAAGTTAGCGTGCGACGAGCGGATATGTTTTTCGAGAAGTTTATCAAATGTTACTTGGAATTTTTAGCAGTTATTCTAGATGTTTTACAAAAATCGTCGAAGCGTGAGTTGTTGAGCATGGCCTAAAATACAGATGTGTATAACTTGTGTATTACTCGTGCAACTTGAGTAAAGATGGGCACATTTTTGGCGTCTCTGCTACTTCCCCTACATGCTTACTTTCTCTTTTGTTTTTGGAACGTTAGTATATGATTTCATTTGCATTCTATATCGCCTCTAAAATGCTTAGTGTCTATTCACTTAAGTTTATGGGATAAAATTTACCCTCAAGTGGCAAGTCCAAAGAGACAACTCTAGTGGTGTTTTCATTTAATAATTAAATATAATCAAAGAATTGAAATCTTGATATATTATTATTTTATCTTCAACAAAGCTACAAGATTTTTGGCATTAAACTAAAGCTTTAAGTAACTTGGGCCTAAGAATAGATTTTTCTATTTTAATGATTAAAAGGATTTTGTGTTTTATTCTTTCATTCTTTAATCTTTGTCTTATATCTATTTAAGAATTAAATCCAATCATTTTAATCATTTTATTTTGTATAATAATTAAGATTTAATTAGGATTGTTAAAAGTTGTATAAGATTTATTTGGAGTTGTTTAGAGTATGATAAAATATTTTGAGGGTTTTTTTTAAGGTTGAATAGGTGTATTTGGTATAAATAGAAACTTAGATTATTTATGTTTTCTAAAGATATGTTTTAAAACATTTTATCCATTGTTTTTAGGTTGTAAATCCAACTTTATGGTAATATAAAACTCTTCCACAACCAAATGCCAAGTGCATTCCCATAACATGACAATGGCATGTATTTTTACATCTAAAAATAATGTGTTATTTAGCAAAAGATGACATTCAAATTGGCCAACTTCAAAAAACAATTTCTATATATTTTTAATTTTTTATGTTTAATTTACTTACACAGTTACAATTCAAATCCATTAATATCCATAGTAAAAAAAAAATGACCAAGTTGCTTGAAGTTAAGAGGAACAATTTTCAATAAATAGAATAAAAAAAACTTTAATAAGACAAAATCCAAGCATTAATACTATGATATGGTTAGATTATTTTGCACAAAATTACATTACATGATTGTAACATTGATAAAAACATTTTTTAATCCAAATATTAACAATAGTTACAATTCAAAAAACTTGTACTTGCAACTTTTATAATATCATGTTAGTGTTGTCCCTCTGTACATCTATCTCCAAACTATGCAGTTCCAAAACTTCACACCATTGTACTTTCATTTTCTTTGGCTTAGAAAAAGGCAGATGTTCTCTAGGTCACCCTATGAGTAACCAATTCATGTTTGCATATTTTGGATACATTATTTCATGTCATCCATCTTTGTGAAATGACACCGCATGGTTTTAAAAAGTAGATAATAGTTGAAGTATATCTGACAAGTACCCTATCCCAATCTTCGGAGCAAACTTGGATTTGATATGCATAGAAGAATATCAAATAAGGTCGACTATATTCCCTCAACATACACTAACCGATATGCGTTGGCAGATCGACTTTCGAACTGCCAATTTTTTCTTTACTTCTAAGGCGGCTTGGATTTAGGTCCACTTCAAGCCTGTTAGCAGTCCACAATATCGATTAGATTTGGTTGAATGGAACTTATTGACAGCAAGATCTATTCTAGTTAAGTTAGCAACAACATACACTGTTTCTAGTGCAATGCATGTCTTCAATTTGACAATTTGAGCATCAATAATATGACGGGGTTGATTAGCATAACTTCAGCTTCGTTTACCAGCACTATTATGGTGAAAATGTTGGAATCATGGTCTTTGGGATCGGCGGTATCCAAATATTGATGAGATCAACTGTGAGCACCACAGAAAGATTGAGAACGGGAGTCTTCTCATGGCTAACGAATTCCCCTTCTTGTGTCTCTCTTCCAGGAGGCCGACTTTCAACTCATGTTCGTCCTGTAACCAAGAAATATTTTAGAATCGTCACTTTAAGGAAGGCTAAACACCAATTGCCCTCTATCTTATCAAATCTTTGGAATACATTCTCGCGTCTGTCCTGCAGTAGATTAACCTTCGGATCACGTCCGTCCTGTAATCAAGAAAGATTTTTTAACCTTCAGTCTAAGTTCTACTACCTTAAGTTTGTTGTATACACAAGAACCATCAAGACTTAAACTATTCCACTGACAACCAAGCAGGAGAACAAGGACATCGATTCCATCTGATTACTCACAGACGAATTTCTAAAGTTTGTCCACTGGAAATAACTAAGACTCTCTAAAGGTTGCACATCACTCACCTTGTTGAAATCAGGCAACGGTCCACAATCGCTTGCACACGGTCCGTCACTCGATTTAATATCAGAATCCTCTTGCTCCTTAATTGGAGAATGCTCTTGAGATGACATAATTTGAGGTTCTGGAGGAATATGGCCCAGCATGCTCTCGGTCATATTTGATCTAGGACTGGATTCTGGAAGGTTGTTACACGTTGGAAGGACTGAAGACGTATTCAATAAACCTAGTTGAGATAGGAGCTGATCGTCCGTGTTGGAGTGGTTTTCAACGGTGTCGACTGAAGAAAGAGTTGAATGATCTTTGCTCGGCAGGTCATCGATCAAATGGTCAGTGTTTCCAGGCAGCACACTTGAAGCAGCTGGTTCTTCCTCGAAAGCAGGAATGGGACAATCGCCAAAATCACCGTAACACAGATGTTTCTCTGTGATTGTCTGAGACACGACTTTTTCAAGAGAATCATCGGGGTTTCTACTCTCTTGAGGATTTATCGTGCAATCAATCAAAGCGCCCAATGCCAGACTTTCTTCTCTCGAGAATTTGGATTCTGCAGGATTTGAATCAACGATACTACACGGCTCCTTAGAAGTAGCAATCTGGACTTGCTGTTGAAATGGAACTGTTACCACCGCAGTATACTGACAGTGTTCCGGTAGTGCTTCTGGTGCTACTGCAGTATTGTTATTCTCTTCATTACTCTTTCCGTCTTTGACACCTTGCTCCACCGTTTGATGTCCTGAATCAAACTTATCGCAATCCACATCAAGTAAGGGTTTCTCAACCGTTGATGCCACAGTCACAGAAACCGCTATGTCAGGCCGCACCACGTTAGGTGCAAGAACTACATCACCTTCCTGTACAAGAATACCTGAAGATACAGTATCATCGTGCTCGAGGTGTTCTACTGGTGCATCTGATTCTGCCATGATAATACCACTATCCTCTCGATTATTGCTGCTGCTCGTTATAGCCTGTTCAACTGAATTAAACTCATCACAATTCACATGAAATAAAGTTTTCTGAATTGTGGGTAATAAGGTATCAGAAACCCCATCAGATTTGCTCTCATGTTGAACATCCATTGTTGCAACAGTAGGATCCGAATCTTTAGACTGTGAAGCGGAATCCCCAATCGCTACTTTTACGGGAAGCACAACCTCGTTCGTATGATCAATCTCCACGCTTGTAGACACAGGTGCCATCTCATGAACTGTGAACAAATCATCTCCCGATTTTGATGCAGAGTGGCTTGCAGGAAGTGCAGCTTCACTCATATAAAAAATGACATCATCTGATCGGTCTTTCGAAGCCCCTGCAGAAGGTATAGTCTCATTTCCATAACAAAAAGATGTTGAGGTCTCAAGAGTGCGCATCTGCTCAGACTCCGCTCGTTGTCCCTCTGCCCCACTTTTATTTCCTGGATTAACGGCAGAGGAATCTAAAAACGAATCGAGATTGTCCGCGTCACTTAGTAAAGAGTCGGTATCTCTTAGAAAATGAGAGAAATCGACATCTTCATCCTGTGTTGGCTCGGTGTATTTCGATCGTTGTCCATTCAATGCACTACTTTTAACTGAGGAATCCAGGAAATTTCTTTCATGCACAGTTTCCCACGGAGGACATGCGCCTTGGTCCATCCTGCTTCCTAACGTACTTGTGCGCGGAGTAAACTTGTTGGTCCGATGAACAAACCTCGAAGCGGGCTCGCTTGACACGCTACGACCGTCGTCGGCATCTGAGTCTTCATCCATGTACTGATGTCCTGCATCAGTAGCAACTTCCGAGACACTGCAAAAACTATACACCGAACATTGGTCGCTGTTATCTATGACACCGGCTTCAGATGCTCGTGGACTGTTCGCGGCTTCAGAATAGGCATCAGCGCTGGAGCTTGCTTTTTGTGCTTCATTGATTTTCAACGCAACTGGAGTGCGTTGACCGGGATGTTTGCCTGTTATTGATGTACTCCTGGTGGTTTGTCGCGGAGTTCCAATATTGCTGCGGCTTCTAATTGAAGAACTATCACTTTGCTTGGGCCTCCTTTCCTGTGCTTGCTTGCCGATTCCAGACAAAGATGCATCGCGGCTCCTTACAGAGGACCTATCACTTTGCTTGGGCTGCCTTTCCTGGACCTGCTTACCAATTCCAGATAATGTACTCGCCTTCTTACGTAAAAGATCCGACGGAGATCTCTGTGTAGGTGCTGACGCTATTTTTGTCAATGTCGGCTTCAAGGGCAGTCCAGATATTGATGAGGCTTCCTTTCTACTCTGTTCGGGTGAATCTTTCCGGAAGGGATCATCCTGAACATAAGAACAGTATATTGTGTCAAAACCCTTCACATAGATTAATTTCAGGATTTGTTTTAAACAAAAAAATGTTCAGGAAGGGTCTCACTTCTCATTACTGTTGAAGTTGTCTACAAACCATGTGAGTATTTAAACTAGAAGTAATGTATCTTTACCAAGTAAAATTGAAGCATCGTTAAATCTCCACAATAAATATGACGTAGGAATGGAACGTAACACATGAAAACATTTGCCAAAATGAACATTGCGGAATTATTTCATACCACAGGAGAACGTTGGCTGCCCCCTTGGTGGGCAGATCTCATGCTCAAGTTCCTGACAGAAATTTTTCCCCTCGTGTCCTTTGATGGAGTCTGTGAATCTGTACCCAACTGAACGCGACCCTTCGGCAGTGACGAGGTATGCAGAGATTCAGTACTTGATGCCCGACTGCGTGGCATTGGCTGTGAAGAGGAAGGCAGAGATTCACTACTAGACGTTCGGTTGTGTGCTTTTGGTTTTGAGGTCATTGGCGGAGCTTCAGTAGTTGACGTCTGACTGCTAGTTTTTATTAATCTGTTTCAGAACCAAATTAATCAAAATCCACGTCATCAGGTTGCAGCTTTAAGGGCCGCCCCGAGTTCCACCATCATATGTGTCCCAATCTAAACTTCGTGCACTCAAGTATTTCGGAGGTAATATGACCCCAAAAAAATTACTTCGCATCGTACATCGATAATGGCGTGCTGGTGAATTGAACCGTATGAGAGTCAAGATGGCTGCAAATTAGTGAATTCCGAAAATTACCTGGGCCGACTGGATGCTGGAGACTGCAATTTATGCTGCAGTAAACGGACGAGATCATCTTGCTACATAATTCAGAAAGCAACAAGCAAAATCAGCTTAGTCCCTTCGGAACATCTTGTTTGAGAAAATATTTTCAGGCGTAGTTGTGAGAGGACCGCTTTCGCTCAGAGGCGACGGTTTCTATTAATCGACACAGCGAAAGTTACAACAGTTCTCATTATGGCGTCTCTAGACAGGCATAACCCTCACTTCGCCAGCTTCACTACATCATGATATTCCTCTCAAGGAATCCACAGCATGACAAACATTCAAGACACCTTAATAATTTCACCAACCTCAACATCCTTGCGCACTGTAGAGCAACTCCGGAGAATACTCGCGGCACAAGATTTTCTTAAACACGAGCAAATAAGATGCAAAGAATCACGCGCAAAATTTCATCCCAACCACTCCAAGACATTTCAAGGTAATTTATTACCAAATTCTCAACATGATGAAACTGAGACGATCTTCGTGACAAATCAAGATGAACATATTGAGAGGAAATCAGTATGCAGCACACACGACTGCCAAGATTAAGTAACATAACAAGGGAGGTTCACCTTGACTCCCGCAGTGCGAATTTTATTTTCGATGCACAACTGCAAGAGCTCCTTCCGCGTTAACTTCTCTACATTGGTATCCTCCATCTCTCCGAATTCAGCTGTCTACAACCTAAACTCAACAATCGTCGTTCACACGTCTACGCTCGCATCTTGCCAGCCGGCTCGCCTTGACACACTGTCTACAGCACGAGCCAGCAGCAGCGCATCTTTCAAGCAATGCGCTGAGCTCCTATCTAAAGACCTCCTCCAAATCCACACATGTTCAGTATCCTTCACCACCCTACCTGCACCTCATCAAAAAGACTCTCTCACCACCTCGTCTTGTTCCGCTCGGTGCATTTTCTCCCTCAAGCTTCCTCTAATTCCAGCAGCTTCATCACCAACATCGAATACAGCTAATTCGGAATATACCAAGACGACGAAGCTTGAACTCGTCTTCAACAGACCCTGTCGTCCAAGAGTTCCAACGCCAGTGGTGATCCAAAAACATCCATTCCTATTCACATGTCGTGACACTAGTAACAAAACCAACGACTCAGCCAAGAAAAAATCAGCTCCAATGCCACCATTGTACAAGCTCGTTCCAAGACTTTTTCAATTGCTACCTCGATTGCACAACACAATTTGTGAGGAGGTCTGTCCCGGTGCTGTTTCCAAGCGAAAACGAGCATTGCGAGCGTCTTGCGGTGCCGGCCCGTCACACATTACACTCCCGTGTAATAAACAGTGAGCGCATAATCTGATGCGCGGGTCCTACCATTTCGCAAAAAGGAGATTAGTCAGCAAAATTGGTCGGGAAACAAAAACTGCACGTGGCCGGAGCTCACGAGCCGGCGTCGAGGTGAGTCGACACGCAGAAGCAAGACAAGCTTAGAATAAGCGGACTTCAGTCTTCATCTTTTTTGCTTAGCACGGTGGCCGCGAAACCTCGATTAGGGTTTCCACATATTAGTATGCTAGCAAAAACCTGTGCACTTGGCCGCCAAAAAAATTTACTGAAAAATATATACTACAAATTAGTATTGGGAGCTTTTGAGCTCTAGTTGCAATGCTACTCTCTACAATCTGCACCAACAACATGCAGACTTTGATCTCTCTTTGTTAAAAGTTGAGTTATTGCTTCACTTTTAATGAAAACATGGTTTTTGTCTCCTCTAGTTTATCCTGTTGGTTTATCCCAAATTTGTTTTATATAAAAGATGTTCTCTAATCGTTTACAGTGTGTATTGTTTTTGAAAACTAGGGATCATTGTAGGGTTTTTTTAAGGTTGTTGTAGATTGTTTTGTTTATTATTATTATTATTATTAGTTGTACATTAAAGACACTTGCATAATTTGGATTGCTATCTTGTTTCTTGTGAAACTGTTTTTCTGGGAATTGGTCGTTGGTTTTTAAGTATAAAATGAAACTCTAATTATAGTGGAAGGAAAACTACAACCTCTGATTACTCTTTTATAAATAAATTAAGAATAAATTAAACCTTTGCTTCTTCTCATCAAGTGCTATAATATAATAAGTTCTATGGTACAACTTCTTACAAAACAATTGATGTTTATCTTACATGACTACATGATCTAAAGGTGGGTATGCAGAAGTTGAAAATAGTTGTGTAAATTGTTGTAAAATAGTTTTAATTTTAATGGTGAAAGTTCATCTGCAGTAATTGTTCTTTGAAATTTAGAAACATATTCAAACATTAATGTATAATTTTGGTATAATTGGCCATAGTGAATGTTATGCACGCTGTGAAAATACACAAAACAATTCCAGTTCCCCACTATCAATCCATTTAATTTTTCCATTGAACAAACCCTTCTAACCAAAAAATGTTCTTTTAAATCTGAAACTTCCCATTTGTGACAGTAGCTTCGTAAAAATGGTTTGACCACAGTTCCCTTTTTAAAAAAATTGATTAAAAATAAATAAATGAACAAAACTAAAACTGATCCAGTTGTCAAATACTAATACTGTAATTTTAAAAGTTTTTAGCCCTTCAGATTAATAATTTATGTTGTGTATGTAAACTTCATAATCAAATGAACAATTTGATTTTTTTGTAGTTTATAAAATAGTTGTTTAAACATACATTCACTTCTTGGAAATAAAATAAAATTTGTTGAAGATTATGCATAAATAAACGAAAATAAACAAAATTTGAATTTCAACAGTATTTAGTGTATCCTTCCATACTATTTCCATGATTACATTAAATTCTCATATACATATACATACATGATTAAAGTAAACAAGAACTATTGGATACAACAACTTTCCACCTACAACATCCAAATTCAAAACTGCACAAAGTTGGCATATCATAGTAAGCCCAAAGATTAAAAAAATTAATTAAAAAATTAAAAAATGTAAGGCTTCTCAATACCCATGGTACACAGAAATCAGTTTGGAGTGATCTGTTATGGAAACAATCTCATAGACTATATCAAACAAATGCCTTCTTTGTGGTAAGTAAGGGAAACATGAGACAAGAAGGAGCATAAAACATGCAAAAATGGCACACATAGTCCGTTGCTTGTGTGAATGGCCCAATGGCTCCATGCCAAGTCAGCCCTAATGATAAGGATTATGGTCTTTGTGTCATGGTCTTTGTGTGGGCATGGGCCATACCCTCTAGACCACTTCAAATGACGCCACAAACATAACAAATAAATAAATAAATAAATAAATTGTGACCTGCTCTCAAAATGATGTTTGGTGATGTGCTTTTCATGCACAAATGTCCTCTATCATGGAGTTTAGATGAAGGTATTAGTTTATGAGCGATTTTTTTATTTTTTGTTTTTAGGTGAAGAATTGAAGAAAATGTCATCCTACGAAAGGTTTATTTCTTTTACAAATATGGGAGTTTTAAAAGAAGCCCAAGATAATGTTTGTATTGACATAATGCTTTGAGCTTAATAGTGTCCATATAGGACACCAATGATGTGCAAAGTTCTTTGATTCCTTTTCAAAAATTCAAGATTTGGTTTTTTTTATTTTTATTTTTATTTTTTAATGTAAATTATATGAATGAAACACTTGTGACTAGAATGTGTGAATAGTATGACTCATGACTGAAATACATGAAGATCCTAGATCATTTGAGTAGGGTTTGATTTATTGATATTGTTCCAGTGTTTTCAATCAAATGTCGTTATTTTAAGACTTTCTAATAGTTTTTTTGAATTGGGTTGTGTTTTAAATCAATACAATAGAAGAAGAAGAAGAAGAAGAAGAAGAAAATTACCCAGTTTATCATGCGTGATTTGTGATTTTACTTTAAAAATCCAAGTTTTGCATTTGTTGTTGAACCTTTTCCGTAACAAATCCACACAAAAATATGATATCATATAATAATGACAAGTAATAGTTCTGAATAATAAATCGTAAGAATTCATAAATCTAAAGTCCCACAAGTTTTGTATTCAAATTTGATCATCTTAGCATCAAAAGTACAATACAAACTAATAAATAGACTTGCAGAAAATAGTGAGTTGCAGTTTTTAAATTATCCAGGTTTGAAACGGTTAATCAAACTTTGTAGCTTTGTTTCACATTCATTTGTTGTAGTGTAAACGTCTCTATATAAAAAGACTGAAAGGATAATTTTTAGATCTTTTATCTCTTATTGAATCTTTTGAATAGTCACATTCATCTGAGCATCTAATCCAAAAGGAATCCTAGTATGATATCCAAAACAAAACTCAAGCAACATATTGTTGTAAATTGTAAGATAATATTGATTTATTCTGGATTTAAAGATCAAACATATTAAATAGCATTGCTACAATATTTTAATTATGTTTTTAAGAGGCTAATATAACAACACATTTTACAAGTTGTTCCTGAAAGTGCATCATGTCAATAATAATAATAATAATAATGACAATAATAACCATAAAATTAAAAAGTTGAATGATGTTTTAAAACTCTTGTTGTGTGTTACAGTTAAATGAGTCAAAATAAAAACACATTATCAGAATCATACGTAACAATATTATCAAAGATATGACATGGTTTTTTATTTTTATTTTTATTTTTATGAAGTTTGCAAGTTTTGATAATTATAACAAAATTGTTAAGAGTTGTTGTTTGAAAAGGTAAGTACGATCATAAGATTTTGAAATCATTTATTTTACATTTATGAATGTAAGAGATAATTATTTCCCAAGCAAAGTCTTTGAATGAAATTACAAAAATTTAATGCTTTAGAGCTTTGTTGCTTAAATTAAGAATTTAATCGTGTTGTAAATTTCATACTTATTTTACTTAAAATGAATAGTTACCACATCGAAAATTAAGGTTTGATTGAATTATTAGTAATTCATTCAAAAAGCTAATGAACACTTTCACAATGCATACTTGAATTTTTTTACACGTTCAAAGTTACACATACATAACGGTATTTTATTAGTTTGCTAATAAAATATCCACCCACTGTAGAACAAATAGAACTTATTTGGAATTACAAAAGTAGCTACAAATCTACGTATGGATTTGGTCAACTGATCTTTTAAATACAACATTTAATATCATATGCAACAACAATGAAAAGACTGTTGATTGGATCCCATTTAAAGCGTTTTATTTCTCAAATAAGTTACCCCACAAATCTGTAAGAATTTATTTGTAATATAATTTTTGTATCTTAAAAAACATCTCCAATTTTTTCTTTTTTTTCTTTTTTTCTTGAAGATGTGATGCTTCAGATGCAATAAGCTAATAAAAATATTTGTAAATCGTCTATATATATATATATATGAAAATTCTAATTCTTTTAAAAGTTTTTATACAGGTAACTTGAAATCATTTATGATAAAACCTTCAACTTTGTTTTGCCTTCATTTGTTTACACAACATCAAATTTTATTCACTACTAAAATACTTCTTTTAGGATTTACAGAACGAAATAAAATAAAACTGTTGCAAATATTTTGCATCTAAGTTTTAGAGTGTTAAAGTTGTTTATTTTTATATTTTCTGAATTTTTCATAAGATGCATTTGTAAAAGAAAGATAATGAGTGAAAAACTTCAAAGTAGCTTCTTCTTCCCAAAAATTGAAATTTCTACAAAAAAATTAACAAAGTGGGAAGAGTTGAAATAGGGATATTCATTGGAGTATACATGTTTTGGTCATGGGAGCAGAAGAAATAATCTTCTGAAGAGGATATATTTTTATATTCCTTAAAGATAAGTTCAAAGGCAACACCTTACCAATTTTTAAATAAAAGTAGTTGGATTGCATTTAATTCATTGTTTCATAGAAAAATTAAATGCATGTTTTCTTTAAATTACATAAAATCTATTGGTATATAAAATCATGTGTGAAAAGATTGTTTTAAATATGGATCTTTCTTAGTCCCCCAATAATAACATGATAAAATTTATGCAAAACTAACTAGAGTAATTACTAAGTATCAATTATGAAACAATAATAAATTTGCATATATTTATATATACATATATATAATAAGATTATACCGTTGATTCTTTCAATTATTTTTCATAACTTATAATATTTTCAATTTTTTTTGAAGTTGTTTCCGTTTTTATGCAGTTTTCTATTATTGTTTGAGGCAATGCTTGAAACACATTTGATTATACTACTTGAAATCTATCACGGTCATATCCTGTGATTTATATCAGGATAATAATTAAAATAATAACACTTATCCTCAAAATTCAACAATTTATCTCAAAACACATAAACTACAATGAACTTTGTATTTGTTTGTCCTAGCTCATATAAACTAATTTTCATGATTTCCATACATAAATAACTAAATAACTAACTAAATAAATAAATAAATAAAATAGCACAAGTAATAACCCAAAAGACATTCATGGGTTCCATATGCTTGAGAGTGATTTAAAAGACATTGTAATTGATTTACTTTAACTTTAAAGCAAAGTCCTGGAATCTGCCGGTAGATGCCCTTCAAAATCTGGGTATCGTGAGAATAGATAAGGATTTCAATTAAGAAACACGGGTACCAAAGACAATACAGGGTATCAACTTTGCACAGGACCTCCACCGGGCCAAACCCTAGTGCTTCGGAATCAAAGAGATCAGCAGTGCTCTTGCGTCATCATCATCGATCGCTCGTCCCTCGAGCATCTCATGAATCGAACACCAAGTTTTGATCCATGGGCTGTAGAAATCGGGCTCCGTAGTCTAGAAGTTTTCTTAGGGCCTGAATTAATTGTTCAACATTTGTGGAGAATTTTGGATCGGCGTAGTTCAAATCCTTCCTGAATCGAGTTGGAGCTGAAGCATAGCCATGGCGCAGCTTCCAAATCTGGACAACGGGCCCGTGAATCTATCCAATCTCAGGTGCTCTTATATCTTTGTCTTTCCCGATCGCTGTGTTTAGTTTTTTTTCAATGTGGCTCTAGTTAGTTTCTTGTATACCTTTCAGAGCGTGTCTCAATTAGCATTTGTTGTTTTCAACGCAGGGAGCAAGCCCAAAGGGAGTTGGGGGAAGTACTTGATTCTGTGCGTTCCTCCATATTGTTCTGTTTCCCCTTATTACGTGCGCAATGCAGTTCGAACTTGATTGCGCTCTCTGAATTGTTGTGTTGGCATTCTCGTAATTTCTTTTGGCCATTTAGGTGGAATTCTTGTTTTTACCTCACGTTTTATAAAGAATTACATTCTATGCGTGGAATATTAACTTCTTGTGTGGATATAGGTTCTAAATATTAGAGTCGGCATTGCTTTTTGTTATATATATATGTGTGTGTGTGTGTGTATGTATTTCCTGATTAAGGCATGTCCTCTTAACTTGCAGATGCGAGGAAAGAAGGTGCTTGTGCTGGATCCTCAGCTCAGTGGACCGCTTGCACTCATTGCACAAACATCTCTTCTTAAGGTTTTTTTCTCGCCCATTTTGAAACTATTTCACTTGCTTTCTAAGTATTATTTTGCGGTACTCGGATTTTGAATTTATTTGAGAGATTGTGTCTTCAAACTTTAGCTGATGTCTGTATGGCAAAACTTACGACGGGTCTATAGTTTCACAAAAACACCTTTCGCACGTCATTGTTAGTAGGAATCTATGTATAGAAATGTTTCGTCAGGGATATGAATAGTCATGATAAATCCTGAGCTTCTGCCGGTTATTAAATGTGCTATCAGGAACACGGAGTTGAGAACCTATACTATGTTGATGCGGATCCTGTACAAACAGAATGCAAAAATGTGATTTACTTAGTAAGACCTCGTATTCCACTGATGAAACAAATCGTGGCCCACATAGAGCAAGACAATGGTCGACAGCTTCAGAAAAGCTACTCCGTCATTTTCATGCCGCGGCGAACTATTGTGTGTGAGAAGGTTATACTTCCGTCCGGTTCCCTCTTATGATTATGTCTTCTTTACATCTTTCCAGAGCTGTTTGCGAATTCGGCCGAGTCAGTGTTGATCTCAATCGTAGATACAAAGACTTGTTAATGACTATCACATAGCCCTGCCCAATCGATTGTAATGATGCAATTTCTTCTGAAGAAGGGGCATGTCAACTGCTGTTGGTCACTGCAGAGGGTAACCATCAAGATGTCATGGCTTCTCTGTTCCTTCTTGGCAGGTCTTAGATGAGGTTAAAGCTGTGGGGAACGTGACCATCAGAGAATTTCCGCTTTACTTCATCCCTTTCGACGAGGATGTACTGTCTTTAGAACTTGAGCGTTCATTCAAGGTACCAGCTCTCCACCTCCGCGGTTCATCAATGCAAAGTTTCAAGTATTATGTCCACCTTAACCTACATGATTCTTACGGGAAGTAGAGTCTTATTTTCTTCACAGGAAACCAAAGTGGATGGAGATACGAGTTCTTTATGGTACATGGCACGGGCAATTACTAAACTTCAGGTACTCAACGACTCTGAGCATTTACGTTTCTGAGTAGGAATGCTTGGCATGTACATGCTTTGGACCTGCTTCAGGATTTCCCAAATGAAAATTTTGAACCTTTGATATGTTATGGCAGGAGTTGTATGGCGTGATACCAAATGTGAAAGGGAAAGGCAAGGCAGCTAGTCAAGTCTCGGACATCCTTCTTCGCATGCAACGGGAGCAGGCGCCTCCTCTTCCTGCATCGGTAATGTACCCTCACGTATCCCTTCTAGTCAAAAATCACATAATTAGGCTTTTGAAAATTGATCTGGAACAGGACTTCGGCCTATGGACCACTCAATTGTGTCGATGTTGGAACCTATGCATTCAATTTTGCCCCGCATCGGACCTCATATGTTTTTAGCAAACTAGGTGCCTGACACTAGTTCGAGTTTGTTGAGCAGTGGAATTTCAACTCCTTACCGTGTCCTCAAACACAATTGTTATTGTATTTGAACTTAATGTATCTTGGTGTACTTGTGTGTAGGCGAAACCTCCTGAGATAGACACTCTCATCCTTATTGATCGTCAGGTATAATATAGTTCTCTAACCTCTGTTACACTGTCTCGTTTTAGTATTTAGCTTCCGAACTATTTCGTAGTGTTTGGAGACAAGTTCAGTATCCTGATTGGGAAAGCCCCGGCAAGAGTTAATTAGTGTGCATGCCTAGAACATCACTGATTGTTGTGTTGTATTTAACAACATGACTAAATTATTTGATTTCACATGCTCAAAAAAACTGCTTGCGGCTTGGGTTATTGAATAAGTGGATGATACCATCGTTTAAGGCGACGGACTAATACTGAAGCTTTTGGTAGAGATGCACTCCGACCTTAGTTTCTTAGAACCAGTCATCTACTACTGACAGAAAATGGCGTCGTACTCAGGTTGACATGGTTACACCCATGTGCTCACAGTTGACATACGAGGGCGTCATTGATGAGGTTCTACTTCTTTTCAAGCATGCTTTTCACGTATCTGTGTGCAATGTTCCACATAGATAAGCATTTCGATAGTTGGTTAGTTGATAACGATATACAGGATGATTTGTTTCACGTTGTTGTCTCCAATATTAGGATGCGTCGATGTTTTTCTGGGTGAGGATGTGGAAATTGGAATATCCCTTCTGGATTCAGCATTTACTTCAAAGTTCTGTATGAGGTTGCAGTTCATACAGATCAACAACGGAGCGGTGGAGGTGGAACCAAGCGTTATGGGAGCTCCCCCTAGTAATAATGCGCAGGTCAGCACAAAGAAAGTAAAAGTGCCGCTAAACTCCAGGTACATTTCATGTTTTGATAGAGTGGTTTATTATTTCTCATGTCAATGCTTAATTATATGCTTTTCCTTGTTAATTTGTGAATGTTTATATGATGTCATCTAAGTTCGTCGGGTCTGTACTCTCGCAGCGACAAGCTTTACAGAGAGATTCGAGATCTCAACTTTGGAGTGGTTGGTCAGGTAACTTTTGTGAACCATAGGGCATCCATTTCCTTGTACACCTTAGTCGCGTCTAGTGGTGAGTGAGCGAGGTACTGAGTTATCAACATGCCTTAGGTTTTGACATATTTCACATGGAGGGACAGGTTTTGCGTCAAAAGGCTGTGAGCATAAAACAAGATTATTCAGATGTAACTGCTGCGGTAAGTTTGTTTCCTTACCCTTGTATCTACTTCTCAATTGTTTAGTTCTATGATCTGAACACCTGAACTAAAAAAGATCATGAAAATCTGTTAGTAGACATAAGGCTTGTAACTAGAACTTGTAATGACTTGCCCTGTCATGTTACCAGGATAATCAGTCCATCTCAGATGTAAAAGACTTTGTGAAAAAGCTGAACGTTCTACCTGAAATCACGGTAAGCTGCATTTCTGGACTTTTTTATTAGCTTCTCATGATGAAATAGTTATAGTTGTACTAAATTTGCTGACTATTTATGAGTTTTCTGTGAGAACGTGGATATGTCAGGCTTTAAGTGGTAAGAAATTTTGTGGCTATGTGGAGTTCTACTGCTAGCCCATGTGCCTTCCATTTCTGTCATTTTAATCGTAAGTTCACCTTATGCGTTGTAGTGATATCAATTTTGTGGGCTGTATAGAGACATGTAAATATTGCTCAACATCTATCGAAGTTTACCACAAAACCAACATTCTTGAGCAGACTGAGTATGGAACAGACACTAGTGGAAGGCCAAAACTATGATGCGTACGTTCCTTGTCATCTGGTAACTTCATTGTCATCTATTTAAGAAATATATTGAAGCTGTGTAACAGCTTAATAGGTGATGTTTATTTGGTGATCACGACTGCTATCGTCGGTTGCGCAGGTCATTTACTTATGTGGAAGAGATGATTCATAGGCAAGAACCAATTGAAAGTGTTTTGCGCCTTCTTATTTTGTTATCGGTCACCAACAATGGCCTTCCTAAGAAACATTACGACTACCTCAGGTAAATAAAATAGTTTTCTCTTCACCGACGCAATCCTGAAAATATCCTTTCGTATGTATTACTCAGATGGGATACAAAGTCCCTCACATTGCTGCCCTTATTTAAGGTTAAAACTGTGTACTAGGTTTTAGAATATTGTGTAGTTGCATTCAATTTGTATTGAGCATTGGTCATCCTTGGAAAGTTGCAAAAGGTATCATCCAATGAGAATCGCTTTTCCTACTTTGCTGCAGGAGAGAACTTTTGCATAGCTATGGATTTGAGCACATGTTTACTCTAAGCAATTTAGAGAAAGCTGGCTTGCTCATAAAACAAGTATGTTCCGGCTGTTTCTACTTATTCTGCGAATCCTTTATGACAATAGCGCGTAATATTACAGTGTATCGAATAAACCATGGCATACCCTAACGAAGGTTTCAAAATGCCAATGTTGCAGGAAGCAAAGAGTAATTGGCAAGCTGTCAAAAAGGGCATCAATCTAGTTCCAGAAGAAAATGATGACATCAAGTGAGTCTTCGTCTTCTGTCACTGTTGCTGCTAGCAATACTTTGAAGACTGATACTTAGCGGTGTGAGGATTAGAGTCACTTACTCTCCAAACGATACTAAATAACGACTTTTATATGAGCTTAACTCTGCGTAACATATCAGACGTTAGCATGGATAGTTTGTTATATTCTATCTTGTAGAGTTAACGTGGCATACTTGTGATTTGTTCAATTCAACATCCTGATGACTCCAGGTTTTTGTTTTACTTCTCATCAACACATAACCATCTCTTGCCATGTTTCTGACTGTTAACTATTGGTTGAACAGCCCCAGCGATATAGCTTACGTCTTTTCAGGATATGCTCCATTAAGCATCCGCCTTGTGCAGTGGGCCCTTAGGGGTGAATGGTGCGTTATTCTCATACATCAATAGATGTTTATGGTGTCGATGACGGCTATTAGTTTATGTCAATAATACCGTTTATGTCTAAATGACGAATGAATGTTTCTGCTGCTGCAGGCAACAATCAGAATTTTTACGTTTGCTTCCAGGAGCAACCTTCGAGAGGTTTGAGAAGAACCAGGTTAGGATTTTCTCCTTAGGTGTCAATGGAAAGTACGGGTGGATGCTCCTCACTTATCGAGTATCGCAACAAGATTAGGTTGTAGATTTCTGTCAACGTTTTGCTTGCTTCAAGCGCCAACGCAATTGCTTATGTAAGTTGGAGAAGTGTGACCTCTTTTGTTTATTTGTGATTTAGGAAGTAAACATTATAAGGCGGGAGACAGTACCCTCAACAGACAGGTACCAATGTGGTTGACGTGTAATCCTTCTGAATTATGTTTCCGCTTTGAAAACCTACGCATTCAACTGAGGTCCACGTGCCTTGTATTTGGCTTAACATGGCATCATGGAACAGTGTACCAGGCACAGATGCTCGTCGGCTTGTGATTTTGGTCATTTTCATCGGAGGAGTTACCTTTGCAGAGATCTCAGCACTTCGGTTTCTTGAGTCTCAGGTTTGTTTCTACGTCTTACCTCTTTGGGATTTCATACCCTGGTGACGAATATGAATATCTTTCCTCTCCAAGTGTTCAAGCTACGAGATAAATCAACAACTCACATGATACAAGTTTTAAATATGTTATTATCGTAATGGTTCTAGTAGGACTATCGTATGGAGCAATGATGCACGTCGAGTCCTGGTGCATTGTTAATTATTGAAGATTTGACAGTCTTGCCGTTAGTCAAAATCTTGTATGCGTTGTTGAGACTTAGGTGTGGTATTTGTAACTGGTATCTGAATGTTTCAGGAGGGAATGAAGTACGACTTCATTATAGCAACCACAAAACTCGTCAACGGCACTACCTTGGTCAAAAGCCTTATTGACGATCCTTCGGCTTCATGATCGATTACAACTTTTGAGATTTGCAAGTGGAGTACGAAAGTCGTCTCACACCAACTTTTGTACCTATTGTTTTCAATGTTGGGAAGTACTATTCGAAATCAAGATTGAGTAGGCGTTTCTAGTCTCTTGGGGTTTGAATAGTAGCTGTGCATCATCTTAATGTACAGTCTGACTCTTCCTCATTATTTAAATTGTGTATAGTGCATCATTCTTTGATTTTTGTTTCTGCTTTTTAGAAACTTTGGGGAGTCCAGAGAGGGTTTGGTATTACGCCATCAATGTCGATGATCCCTCATCTACCACTGTTTAATCTGGTATTATGACAAGTAATCTATGACATTTTGCCTCAAGTCTGAAATTTGGTAACGTTTCTTGCTTCTGTAGCTGGCTTTAGGTCAGTAACTTGTGTGGATATCTCAACAGCTACAACATTGCAATTTGATTATTCAGATTATCAGATCGTTCAGCAAAAAAGCTAGATTCATTCTGGTGTTGGTCATCCTCAAGCTTTGATGACAGGTGTAGTCATCATTATATTGCCACTAAGGTTATAAAAGACATACACTGACACTACATCTAGAATTTAGCATTTTCCACTGAAATCTTGAACTTTGACTTCCACATAGTTAATGCCTAGGACAGTTTGAATGTTTTCTAATGCATCAAATAACATCGCGCTGTAGTGTTAATGTGTAACACCAAGTCTGTCTTTACAATGGATCCCTTACTCATATTTCGATTTTGAGCGCAATTTGTGTAACATCTCAATGTGATGAGATGCTTTCTATAGATTTAGACAGATGGCTGTATGAATCAACGGACGAGGTTTGTTCATTCGCTTATGGAGTGGAATTTATTGAAGTGGCCACTCTAATGGATCTAGCACCTGCACTCCATTTCCCAGGTAATACTTCTCTTGACCATACAATCCATATCATTAATCAGTTGACAACTTCAGAAATCAGTTGAATCTCACGGTGTTAGTGCCGTAAACTCAACATAGTTGTGTAACTTGTGACATCAGAAAATGGATTGATATGAATCCGGTATGATGCCTTTCTCTCTCAACATAGCTGGTGCATTGCTGGTCTTCCATGAATAATTTAAAACGAGAATTCAGCTTGGTGGCAGTTCCACCAACCAATCTCACCCAGAAATCAAGCATTGTCGTGGAGCTGTCGAATGAACTGACCAAGCTTTTGTCACAAGAAGTGGACACAAATTGTGCTGCGAATCGAGTTACACCTCCACATTGCCATGAAAATTTCATTCTCTAGCCTGAAAGAGTTTTGGGTTGGAAGGTTTTGAATTCCTCAAAAATACCCATTCCATCCTTTAAATTCACAAACTCATGAAGGCCAAGGGAATCGACGCAGATGATGGGATGGTTGAAACCTCCACGACGAGGAATGATTGAAGAGCCAATTGGTCCACTGGAGCAACACTGACGATGCGTGTTGTGGTCGAAGAGTGTTCTGAATTGTTTTTTAATTAGAAATGGAGATTTTTGTGTAAAAATGTTGAATTGGAGTTCAATGTGAAACTTCATAAACTTGCTAAAATAGAAAAAAAGGTATGAAATTTAAATTATGTGGTCTAACTTGTTTATATATATATATATATATATATATCTTTTCTTCTTTTGTTCGAAATTTTCCTATTTAATCTATTATATAGTACTTTTAGTATAAATTGAAATCATTCCTTGGTTTTATCAATATAAAAAATTTCAACTTCTATAGCAATTATTTTAAAGATTAATTTTTCATATGTAGTACATATTTATGTTTTTATTTTCTAATTGTATTATATATACATATATATTTTAAATTAGATAGTTGTAGAAGAGATTTATTGTTCTTATCAATAGTATAATATATTAACTATAAGATTATATATATATATATATATATATATATATATATATAATTTTTTGAATTCTAAATTTGATTTTAATTAGCAACTACAAGTATACTCAGTTGACTCAAATAAGTGATGTTATCTTTAACATTAATTTTATATTTATAAGTGTAAAAATAATAATAAATAAATAAAAAATAGACCATTGATATAATTTTTTTATAAATCCTCAAAGTTTACAAGTTAAATGATTTATATTTAACAACATTATTAATATAAGCACATGACATAAAATTGTAATATTTGAACATGAGGATATAGAACATAAACTAATATATTTGTTAAAAAGGACAACAAAAATAACTTATGATAAGCAAGAAAGACAAAAACATATATTTTATAATGCTTAAGATATAGAAGTTGAAACCCCCTTCTTTGTATCAAATGTTGTGGTAGAAAATAAATAATACTTTCATATTAGAATTAGTGGTTTTCAATTAAGCAAGAAATATGTATATATACAACACTAATAAGTACATAGAAATAAATGTATTTGATTCTTATTTAAATTTATAGATTTTATAATTTTATTTATTTATTTATTTATTCATTTATGTGTGGTAATAGTCACTATCATTGTTGGTTTCTTCCAAGCTATTGCTTGCAAGCAAATTAGTTTTTAAAGAAGGTAATGACAAGAACAATGATGTGGACAATGTCAACCACCTTAGCCATCACTTTTAATTTGTTGCCAATTATGCACCTATTGCATGTTACAGAAGGAAATTTATTTTTCCACCCCTTAAGCTTATTGTTATTTTATATATATATATATATATATATATATATATATAAACAATTCACACATTTGTAGAAGATTAAGTCTAGGCAAAGGATTTTGTACCTTGCCACTTGTCTCTTCTTTCTCCCATTGCCTCTTCTAAGATTAGAGGCAGCAAGTAGAGATCAAAATTCTTTCTTGAATAAGTGTTTATGTAATTTGAGATGCCAACATCTCTTAATTGTGGCCAAGGTGGTTTATGATAATTAAGAGAGTTTAGGTTCAAACTTGGTTAGAAATGCTAGCTTTGTTGTACCAAATGTATTGAATTTTAAGCACCAATGTTTCACTGTCTAAAGATATTGCATCTTCCTTATCCTACTCTTATCCTTGTCCAACTCTTAAGCCACTATTTCCCTTAAACATCAAACTACAAGCATGCTAAAAAGTGTATATATTTATGCAAACTCTTTATTTAAATGAACATATAATACAAATATTCATCCTTTATAATATTCAGACTTCTAGCAAACCCACAACCTCCAAATGTTAAACCCTAAACTCTAGAACGGATTTGGACTGATACTTGAATAACTCTTTTTGTAAGATTCCATATTCTCTTGCAAATCATGAAAACAGTGCAGTGTCATGGCTCCCTGCTACTCCTCAATAATTTTCTATATTCAGTTATTGGTTTCACCACTTACATGTACTTCCTGATCAAACTTTCACTCTAGAATTGGGACTGATCTCGTAATATCAGCTCCAAGCAGCAACGAGGAAGCCCTAAATTCGGCCGTTTTGCAGCACACAAAAACTTCCGGGCTGTAGGCATGTTGCTGCTGCTGCTGCGAGCTACGTAAAGCCACCGCAATGCGTCGTGAACCTGACGGCCACACTCTCATCCTTTCTATGCCCCTGCGCAAGCACCATCCGAGTGTGCATGTCAACACTGTGAAGCACCTCTACAACACTTCCCGTGCACGTCATTGACGCGTGACTTGGCCGAATTCGATCGCCACTGTTGAATCAGCGGTACACAGCAAATTGCGGTTTTTGGACAATATCCCTGCTGTGTCATCAGTTTTTTTTCTACGCTTCAGTTACGGACTGCAGAGGTATTGAGAATTTGAGCATGAGAATTTTGGGTCGAATTTCTTTCTTGGAGACGTACTCCAGTTCACATGTCGTGCCAGTGGCGAGGTGTGATTGAAGAAAATTTGGACAAAAACTAGAACGAGAAAAAAAAAAAAAAAAAAAAAAAAAAAAGGTGCAGCCCTTATGGCCAAAGAGGAGGGAACACCAATTTACTCAGTTGTTGCGTCTCACTTTGTACAGGAATATGCAGGAAAAGTTGCTTTAGGAACAGGCTGCAATTTAACCATTGGTGTAGTGACCCTACTAGACTAATTCTAAATGTAGTGAATCTAGGGCAGTATTATAGCGTCTAAACATTTTGCCTTCCTTACAAGTTACAGTTGCAGCACTCATGAATTGCAGGCATCATCTCAGAGGCAAGGGGTCGGAAACCCGATGAAATCGTAATTGTGATTCTGCACATTCAGACAATAAAAGGCCAATAAATCATGAGCAAAGAGCAATCTATGTGGACGGCTCAACGGCGAATGAGAATCCCTTAGTACATGGTTCCAGATCCTACAGCTTCGATAGCAGCGTCGGTTGTATGGAATCTGTCGGTCCTACTCCTTTCGCAGGCGCTTCCTTGATACCATCTTCCGCAATAGTTGCCTCACTCGGTGGCACATCAACGGCCGGGGAACAGTTAAAAAATCCATGGGGCTGCAACACGTCAATACCATCAAGTCAGTACAAGACATAACGCTGTGAGCTATGGATAATTTTAGTGATCAGCATGCACTGAATAACCCGAACTGGATGAGTAAACTCGAAGAATCACAGAACTAAGAACTGTATTTAAGAATGTAGAGGATGCTGAATCAACTGTATTTAAGCCTCGAAGCGCAGGTTAGAGGAATACCAGAAGTTTGAAGCCAACGTGCTCCACAGGCATGACAGGCCAATCTTCAAGACGAGGGACGTGCGTCACACCAAAGACATACCTGCAAGCATAACCGAGCCCTTAGATCTAGCTAAATAAAGCATGATTTACGTAGACATACAAGAATCACTCGAAATCCTCTGAAGACATTTACGTACGATATTGTAACATCCCTGCTTTGCAAGGGTGTCAATATGACAAATTAAATGTCAAGTCAGGGGATTACCAAAGCACAACATCCGTCTCCTCCAGCTTGCGATCCTGCTTCACCCAAGTCGGTAGCCCTTCCCCAACACGAGGATTTTGGTTTGGGAACTCCCCACCTGGAAAGCATTCATCACGTTTATACTCCGTAACCCAGAGATTGTGATTTAGAAACGCAGCGCGGCGCAAGAACTTAGCATCTGGCCCAGCTAGAGGCAGACAATTACGCCCTGGCATGAGTTTGTAACCAGTCAGCTGGCCTGTTCGATTGAATGTCCTAGTATTTCGTACCTGCACAATGGTAACTTGTTAGTTAGAACTCTAGCAAATATGATTAGGTATCAATCAAAAAGCTCCCAAAAGCATTCAGCACCATTAATCCTGGGAGCAACTTTAAAACTTGGCTAAAGATGTCAGTGGAACCAAAATGAAACTTCAGCTGACACGATCTTACAATCCAGTGGCGATGAGTTAATGCATTGCAGTCACGCTGCGCATGCAGCTCGGAACTCAGAAGCGTCTCCTCAGCATAGAACGCGTTGTTGTGAGGATTCTCAGGTCCAGGGTCCTCAACCTTCATGTTTACTTCTACGACCTGTGGATACGATCGGCCAGGTTATTAGCACCCTCGCAGGACATGTTACGTGTCCGCCAGATTTGAGATGGCAGGAAACTGGCAAAAACAATACTGGAAACATACCTGGTTCAATCTTTCACCAGGATTACAATCAACCGACATGTCAAGGCGCGCCACAAAGAAGTGTTGGTGCACAGGGGCATACAACCCAGGCGCAATGACAGTGCCCTGTCTACGATTCTCATCGGCCTTCAACGCACCTAAACTCAAAATACCCGTGAGCTTCACCTCAGCCTCAATGTGCCCATCCTGGTAAAAGTGCCAGAAGAACCCATACTCATAATTCGCCACAGTACAAAAGAAGGACACTGTGAGCCGTCGTGATCGCCGCACTTCGGTCATCCCAGTTCGCCAATCCTGATGCTTCCAAAGTATGCCATGGTCTTCCTCGTGCATACATACACAATTCTCTATTGTCTCCACACCTCCCAGAAAATTTGTGAAGTGAGCGTCGAAGTACTTAATGTGGCCGAGACAATCACAACCCTGCAGAAGCTCAGAGGTAGCGCGTCATAAATTAGTAATGTTCGCAAGAGTAGTCATTAAACCCTGTAAATTAAAGCCTCAACTACGTCAAAACCACTCACCCGCTTCAGAGAGTGAGCATTCCTGCCGAGACCATCTTCTCCGGCGTCAAAAGCATTCTTGCGATAATGTGGATCATGTGGATCTCCATAGGGCACAACCATCTCCACAAAGCTTAAGCGATGTGCCACCGACCGCCTGCCGCGACTGCCGTCGTCATACGCGACTGTGTGGATAACCAATCCTTCTCGAGGTGTGAAGCCCACGCGAAAGTTCCACTGCTTACACAAAACCAGTTGCAAGTCTCAGACGCATGCAACTAAGCTCTTGGAATAAAATAATCTATCGACAACTTGGACACGGTGCCAGATCAGAAGTCATTTCCTGTAGCCATGGAATACGACATCAAGTGGCAAATCAATGATTTCTTGGCAGCAAAAAAGCGGTGGAAATGTGCGTGATGAGTCGGGACAACCTTTTGCCACTCCACTGCATAACCATTTACTCGAAAGCTGGGTCCTTCCGGCTGAGTGATTAGCAAGGGCTTGATATCAGTCCGATCAACTCCGCCGCGAGAGGAGGCAGCGGTGTAGTTACGTAAAGGGTCAGGAGGCGGGAGTGGCACGAAATTACGATCCTCAAACTCAATGACCTGCATGTGTCGCATGTCTACCAATACGTGGATGCCCTCCACAGGGCGCGCGTAACCATTCTCAAGAGGACAATCACTTTCGGTTCGACAAAAAATTAACGGCCTGCCCAGTCGACGACTTGGAGAGTCTTCTTCGCCGTAATAACCTACACACCTGCAGACACCAGCATTTCGAATGTTAGGCTCATTGCCAATTTTTCGCAAACACTCAAAGTCGAATAAATCATTAGGGTTTTCTGAAAACTCGGTCGGTTCGAAGTAGAAGATGCTTACCAAGGGTCCACCATGACAAGGTCCATGTCTTCGATTCCGCGCTTTTTCATGGCTTCAACGAAGGGAGGATACTCCTTCACTAAAGCCTCACATTCCGCATACTCCATGGCATCCTGGACTCCGCACCGCACATTAATCAGTTGCAGTATTTGAGGCGAGTACACGGAATTCTCGATGAATGCTTAAAACCTCCGCGATTACCATCTCATGTGACGATATTCATTTGGAAATAAAAGCTGAGAGGAATGGTTCACCTCGACCGCAAAGTCGGATGCTGTGAAAAGGTTATAGTTACCATGGGCGGCTGGACATCCGGCACATTCACCGACGAGAACACCTTGCCACGGTGATGACCACCGCGAGCGGTGGCGTGCACTTCACTGAGCTCCACCACCCAGATACTAGTCTCATTGGTTCTCTTGTTATACACCACCAATCTGGCCTGCCGAGGGGGCAGTTGGAGAGGATACATGGCGCCTCCTTTGGCTTTCGGACGATACAGCGTCGGCTGATAAGGAGGGAAGAAGTATGCATCGGCCAGAGCGACAACGTTCTTATCAGGCTCGTTCAAAACGACTTCCACAAACCTCATTCCATCACGCACCTGCATTACATGCGTACAATCCGCTCATTCATCGTGGACCCACTCCAAGAGAACATCCTCGTGCACGATTGCAGTGCATGACAACACCAGAGCGAAGGGAAGAGGAAGTGAAAATTTAAGTTTCAAAAAACTGAAAACATGTCAACGTCTGCCTCCTGTAGACTACGGAATTAAAAACCCAACAGAAAATTGGTGGGGGGCACGATCCGTTCATGTATCGCCTCGAAAGATCCGCCATGCATGGCATGCGGGTTTCCGAGACAACTATCCGTTACTGGCGTGGTGAATCCCACAGGATAATGGAATCAACGAAGGTGGCCCATGCACGTACATCGGCGTGTCTCACCGCCGCGGCATTGCATTGCGGGAAAAATGGTGACAACGTGACAACTATAATCATGCACAAGAAGGTACTGAAAGACAAGTGTGTGCGAGGGAGTGGACTTACTTCTGGAGTGGCACCGGCCGCCCTCACTGTGGCTATGGCTACGGCAATCTCCGTCGGAGTCAACGGATCGAGAGGGTGCGCTGACTGCGAGCGAAGAACTGGTATTCCAGGTCCTGCCATGCAATTTAAACCAGGTCCGGTGAGAGGCAAACTATGGGTTGACAACGTCCCCATCTCGAACCAACGTTGCTTCTACTGGTGGAATATTCTAGAAACAAGCGGAATGCACTCGAGATGAAGGTAATTACGATAAAGACATGACAGCTTAAGAAATTTGTAAACCAGGCACTGAGACGACAAGAAGCAGCAGCAGCAACAACAACAACAACAACAACAACAACAAACTCTCTGGATTGGTCGAGAAAACGTCGTAATTCTGATCTAGATTTCAGCAAGAGCGCTTACGATATGTAGACCAGGAGTGGATGACAACACCTAAGATCCTCCTCTACTCGGTTGTAGAGTGGGGATCTGTGGCGCCCGGCAGAGAAGCAGGGCGATGCATCGAAAAGGCTAACCCCGAAATCTCCACCGAGTCCACAGGAATTGTGAGCCAGAACGTCACAACAGTGTAAAATTCTACACGAAAAAGAGTGCAAATCTTCGAGCATCACCACCTTTGACAGTGCTGGTAACAGCTGAGGCAGAATCCAGTGATCCAAATGGGACACCGGCCTTGGAGTTGGGGCGGTGAAGCTCCGGCTGGTGTTCGACATGCGCGTGACTGTCTCCGAGCATGTCTACCTCACCGGACGCAGGCGCGGGCTCCAACGATCCAGCGTTTCCCCCACTCCCCCGCATCTCTGCACCCTTCCCCGCTGCTGCTCCACCTCCGGATGATTCCGCCGACGCATGGCAGCAAAGCGTCTGCGCGCCCTCACGTGGGTCCATTGACAGGGTTTAGAAAGCGCCCCTCCTCCTACCGTCTCCTTCCCCACTCCTGCTCCGCTATCAGACATACAGCACACCTCCTCCTTCCACCCTCTTCCGCAACCTCTCCTCCTCTCCCTGCTACACCACCACCACCCGCACCTCTTCACGTCCTCTTTCCCACACTCTCTACTCCTTGACTCCACCTCTCACTCCCTCCACCACCACTACTGCCAATCCACCACACCTCAGATTCACACCACCGCTCTCAGAATGCCTTCTCCCATCGCAAAATCCAGGACCTGGCATCTAAAACAAAAAATTCCTTCCCGCAGTCACCACCTCCTCCAAAACCCCCACCCAACCGAAACGAAAACCCGCTCAAGGCAACAAAGCTCTGGGTCAAAACAGGCAATCCGGAAGTGTGAGAGAGACGGTCATGCGAGCCTTGCAATCCGTGAAGCTAACGAGAGACTGGTCATGCGCGAGTATACATAGCAAATGATGAGGAGGAGGAGAAGCAGTTGCTGCTGCTGCTGCGAGACGCGGGGCGAGACGGAGCGCAGGCAGAGAGGCTGCGAGTTTTGGCTTTGTGTTCGTGATTGTTGCCCAGCCAGGCCCCCTGGGGCAGAGGCCCAAATCACACCCGCGCCGCCAAGCCCGGGTCGGCCGGCCCAGTTTCCAGCCCCCGCCCCCTCCCGTTGTCCCGGGTGTCCCCCATTCCCACTGCCCCCTCCCTATGCGCGTGCTCGCGTCTTTCGCGCCTCTGTCCCGTCAGCAAATATTTTTACCCGCACTTGGTAAACGTAAAACAATTAAAGCAAACGGTAAACGTAAAAGCATGCTTCCCGAAAAGGACGCATGACTCTATGGCTTCTCCTCTCCACCACCTCATTCCACTGCATGCATGATTGACATCCCCCGGATTTTAATTTTTATTTCTTATTTCTTATTTTCGTTACTGTATTGTTTGAACAAGTAAGAATTGTGGGCAGGGTGAGAATCGTGGTAGGATATTCACATTTGCCCACTTTTTTGCTCATGCAAGGATGACCCCAAATGCACAGACAATTCAAATTTGGGGGGGGGGGGGATTGTTTTGAGTGCCCACCACTGATGGTAGGGATCCAACAACTATTCCTCCCCAAAATAGACCTTTGTGTGCGATGAGATAACTGCATGGAGCATTAGGGCTTTTTTTAGGGTTTCTATATTTGGGCTTTTGCATAGTCTATGAATAAGTGGGTTTTTTTTTTCTTATTTGTTTCCTTTGCATCTTCCTATGATCTCCTCTGAGTCTCTTCTCTCCTGCATATCTTATGATATGATATGAGCATCTAGTTCTTGCCTATTCATGCTGTTGTTCTGAAGGGTATTCAATCTATGTGGATGTTGTGTCTCTTTTAATATTATATTGATAGTAGGATCACAACAAAGTAGGTTTCAATTATTGAAATTATACTTTTGAGAGCACATAGAAAATGTTTCAAAGGATTTATTGAGATTGTTTTAAATAAAAACACATGCACTGAAAATTTGAATGTTTATCATTATGTTGTGAAGGTGCAAGAATGTTGTGCCAGTTTTATGGATTAGTTCATGTATTTTTAGAATGTTCTACTTGTGCATATTCTCTACAGTCAATTATTAGAAGCAACATTACAACAATAAAATGTTAACAACTAAAGTGTGTTTTATTATGATATATTTCAAATCCTGATTTTTGTTTTTATCAAAATGATGTCTTTGATGTATCATCAAAATAAAAGCTCCTAATAATACATGTTTTCTGTGCAAACATTCCTGTGCACACACACACACATATATATATATATATACATACAACTTGAACTTTAAGTATTTTAATGGATTGAAACATGGATGTCGTGAAAGTTCTGGTTGTGCTGGTAGAAAAGGTACATCTTTTCTGTTATCAATGTTGCATTTTTTTTACAATATCATTGCCAAATGAATTTAGATGCAAATTTTCTTAGAAATTAAATAAATAAATAATGCAAGAAGTACATTGCAACATGGATTTTTCAAGCCTTGATTAATCCTTCATTTAATTATACACACATGTGTGTACATATGTGTATTCCAAGGGTTCAGCCCTTTTTATTTCCCCACTGCCAGAAAACATATGCTATTTTGAAAAAAGTAGATCCTTGATATCAAAGCTTATACTTTAATTGTTGTGATTTCACTGATTTTTAAATAAAATGGAATCAGATCTGAACCAAACAGGAGGACAAGCAAGGGAAGGAGCATCAGCCATTCAATTTTCGATTTATATTTGTTTCTAAGTATACAGGAAATAAAAATAAACTAAATAAATAATATATATAACATGTAAATCTAAGATAGTAATACAGAGCAGGTGCTATATCTCACTCACCAATCCTGCGTTTTCAATATCTATATATATATATATATATGTGTGTGTGTGTGTGTGATTGTGGGGGCCAGAAACCAGGATGGAATTTGCATATTTCTAATATTAACCCTAATTTGCAGCTTTCTTCTTACGCTCCTTCTTCTTCTTCTTCTTCTTCTTTTTGTTTCATGTTTTTCCTTCCTGGTTCTTGAAATTAACCCCTTGTAACAAAAATGGGTACTTTTATTAACATCAGGTAGTTGCTATTTTTATGTTTGATTTTCATTTATTTTTTTAGTTTTTTGGGTTTTTCGGGTTTTTTTTTCCCTCAATTAATGGTGATTATGTGATCCTCAGTGGTTTGTTGCATGTAGCATTATTAAAATAATCCTTTTTAATTGTCATATGAAAATAGAAATAAACTAGCAAAAACAAGGAAATGAAATCAAACGGGGGGGGGGGATAGTAACGCACACACACATTGTGTGTGAAAATGTGATGTCTAATTTTGTATTACAGCAGAAACTATACTTTCAAAATGGTCATGTTATGCTGAGCAATTAAGTATAATTTAATTTAATGATAACATTTTAATTAGAATCTATCACTCTTGTAGTGATTTTTAATAATCGATTATTTAGGTGACCATCTGAGATCTTGAATCAAATTTTTGTATTTTTCTGGTGCAGAGCAAAATCTAAAGACCAATTGATATAGGTTTAAAATAGTATTTTGAATTTTTACATTGCATAAATAAACACAGATACACATTTCTCTCAAATGATTTTCCCCTGTATTTGATTGTGATAAAGATTATATATGTTAAAATCATTAAAATACAAATAATATAGAATGTAAAGTGAATTTTGTTGAATCATATTTTGAGCATGAATTTTCAAAAAAAACATCTAAAACACATTGCTAATTTTGAATTAGAGATTCTTGTATAATACAATTATTCATGAAGCATGAAACAGTCATAGAATCTTTAAGAATTTATAAAGATTTTTCATGGAATCAAGAGGTAATTTTGAAATCCATTTCGTTTGCATATTTTTCTTCCAATATTTGTTTGTTTTACAAATGCCACTTGTGCAATACAAGTATGATCACAATGTAATGATTTAATTCAAGTTTTCCACTCAAACTACAATTTTTTTAATTTTTAATTTTTTAAAAATTGTCCAAGGCTTTTGTATATTCCTCAAGATCCAAAAACTTCATGATATCTCCACATGAAATGTAAGGTCTACATTGTATTATACATAGAATCTAGAAGTACGAATTTATTGACTTTATGATGAAAACCAAAATTACAAAAACAATAATACGATTACCATTCAAAAATAAATAAATAAAATAAATAAATTGTTATGTGTGTTTCTCACTATAATTTCTTAGGACAAGAGGGAAGGAAAGAAAGAAAGAAAGACATGGAGTTTGGTGGTTCATGTAATTGCCTCATGTCTAGGGGGACATGAGCACCAAAACCCAATCCAACCGACGCTTCCATCCACATGGCCAATTTGGACACCTTCCGCGAAAATGGCACACTTTCAACGTGAGGATTGCTCCACTGGATGACGTCACCGACGGTCCTCACCCCGCAGGGATGGGGCTGACTGTCATATGTTGCCACCTGGCGGCGCCGGTAAGCCCCGCGTCATCATCGCCTTGTGGATGAGTTATGACGTCATTGGAAGGTGGGTTTCGTCCAATGGGGTGGTGCCACTAGGCCGCGAGGGATTGCACACCCAGCTGTGGGGTTTCGTCTTCGGTGTGAACGGTGTTATTTTGTAGGTTCATCAAAGTTTGTAGGTTCCGTACCTTGTATTAACGGAATACATCTATTGACGTGTGAAGTCGCTATTATTATTATTATTATTTCGTGGATTCCAATGTCCATTAAAAACACTTACTAATAGTATGTATCATTTTAATAAAACTAATTAATAATAAAATTATACCAAATTTTGTTAATATTAAATTTTATTTATCCATTGTATGATATTTATATTGTGTTTTAATTTAATTTATTTATAAATATGTGTCATAGTTTGGATTTTTTTTCTTGTAAAATTGATTATTATTTTATTTTGGTATCCATTAAGTGGACAACCCATGTCCCACAAATCCTTGCATATATATAACTATGTGTATAATAATTGTGGATACATATCATAGAAAATAAGAGATAATATTAGTAATTTTTTATTTTTATTTTTATAATTTTGTGTTTAAAGGTATTAGTAAAATTATTCAAATCAATATTTACACTTAATACATATGTTTTAAAATGAAGCCTAAATACATATCATAATAAATAAAATATAAAAAATTAAATATCTTTCCATAGTTATTAGGACGGAGATAAGATCATGAATTACACGTATAATGATATGACATTGATATTAATATGGATATGTAAGTTTGTGTGGCATATAAGAATATCCATCTAGTAAAAATAGAGTGTCTATTTAGCAATATCGTTTGATTTTGGGTGTTTTTTTTGTAATTTTATATTAATACAATATCACTTTTAAATTAATACAATACCACTTTTAAATTACAATAAGTATTTCTGAAAGTATTTATTTTTATGTTTAACATTCAATTATTTATTTGAAAAAATAATTTTTTATTTATTAAGTAATTTAATTAGTCAATCTCTTAGCACAAAAAGAGATTCGTTTAAATAAAATTTTGTTTTTAAATTTTCAGAAAATATGTTTAATTAGTTAATTATACTACATTTTTGTAATCTAACTTATAATAAACATATTTCAAATATATATTGTTTTAAGTTTTTGATTTACATCTTTGAATACTTGTGATTAATTCATGAAATAATCTTATTAATTATTTAACTAATTATTTATCAATACGAAAATTTTAAAATTATAAAATATTATTTAATTGTAGTCTTATTTATTGCTTGTTTTACATTATATTCAAGTAAAAAATTTAAAAATTATTTAGTAATTATTTAAAAATTAAAGACTTTGAATCTTTAGTTTATATTTGTAGATATACTTTCGGTGTATAGTTAAATAGATAGATCTTCATTATATCACTTCAAAGAAGTTTTTAAGATGTTGTTTAGATCATTATGTTCCTACAGATACACCATATAACTACTAAAACTTATTGCACAAGTTTCTTATTTTTAAAAGATATGTTAGAAGTGTTTTACAACATGATGTTTTAGCCACAATCCTTATGTTCTTTGAAAAGCA